AATTGTCCTTTTGCGTGAGGGTGACCAACCATTGTTTTAGAATTATTTTTATTTGACGATCTTACTTTGTACTGACATTTAGCCATGAGGCAAAGTGGCAGAAATATAAAGTTTACCATTTATTTAGGTTTCAAATGCGAGACGATGGAAGCAAATTGGAAGAGAACACTAACGTTATTTGACCATGCAACTTAGCCATGCCAAGTACCAGTTCGACGCTTGTTGAACGGTGCAGAACCTTGGACGTGAGCTCAATTGGCATCGATCTGTAAAGCATACACCTATGCCCGCAGCAGCCGGCAATCGCTTGGCGGCCGACATCACTGCACGAGCCTATCCCTAATGGGCCGGAAGAAATTTCTATGGGGAAAAAGTACACAGTATCTTTCTTTGAGCAAGTATAGTATTGTCAATTACTAGCTTTAATTCATTATAGCCAATCTAATAGCTCATTTATACAATAGTTACATACTACACTATTAATATCTGGTCCCACATGTCATACACACATTGTGTATTGGAGTCCGTGCTATAGCTGGCTACAAATCTGTAGCCTGTTGACCTTCTCTCTCCTCATTTATCTGCTTAAAATATGTTTGCAGCTGGCTTATAGCCTGCTATTGTACCTGCTCTTAAGTATGATACCCCACAAAATTAACACTACCAAAATTTGCTGAGATTTTTCTTTTAGAAATGAATTGGACCAAGTCCCTCGTTTGCATGTATGTATGGATCGATGACAAAGCACAATACCACCCATCCGTTTTATATTACATAAGTTTCACCAAATTTATAAAAAAATGTAGCAACATTTTCAAATAAAAAACATACTATATAAATAAATTTGATATTATATTTGATGAAATTAATTTAGTGTTATAGTTGTTGCTAATTTTTCTAATGAACTTAATAAAGCTTAAAAAGGTTTAACTATAAATTAGTTAAAGTTAAAAGTTTCGAGTAATACAGAAAACGGTGGGAGTACAAGCTACCAAACCAACAACCGAACCTTTGTGGTGGGGAATATATACTGGGCGGGTCACCTGGCCGGAATCGATTAAATTATAAATTATCGTGCGTGCATGGGTTTCAGCCCCTCCATCGATCGATGTGATGTGATGCTGTGATGGGTTTCAGATTTTGATCGCACTACTAGTAGTACTCCTATTTAAATAATCCACGTTTCATTCTCGATCAATCAACATCAAATCAAATGGAATTTCAAGAAAAAAATTAATCAATCCCGCATGCAGCGCGGCCAACCGATCGTATGCGCGGGGCTGCGTTAATTTGCACCGTTTCCATGATGCATGCACTAAAGGGTTATTTGGTTTGCTATCAAAATTTGTCAAAGATTACCACACTTTATATTAGACAAGTTTGACTAAATTAGCATATTATTTGGTTCATAGCCACGCTTGTAGCAAGATTCTTTCTCATCTATTAGGGTCCCACATGTCATCAACTCATTAAAGTATGGCACAATCCAATCTTGCTAGCTAAGGCGTGGCTCATTTTTTTTAAGCCACAACTTAGACAAGTGTGGCGTAAAAAGTATGATGAATAGTGGCAAACTTAGTATAGCATCCAAATATGCCCTCCTTATATTCCAATTTTTTTCTTCAAACTTCTAACTTTTCCATCACATTGAACTTTCCTGCACCCATAAACTTTCAACTTTTCCATCACATCGTTCCAATTTCTTCAAACTTCTAATTTTGGGCTTAGTTTTCAAAACAAAAGCTTTTCACCTATTCTATCGAATGTTTAGACACATACATAAAGTATTAAATATGCATGGAGTATTAAATGTGGATAAAAAAATCAATTACATAGTTTACGTGTAAATTGTGAGACAAATCTTTTAAGCCTAAGTGCACCATGATTTGACAATATGGTGCTACAGTAAATATTTGTTAATGACAAATTAATTAGGCATAATAAATTTGTCTCACAGTTTCCTGACGGAATCTGTAATTTATTTTATTATTAGACAACGTTTAATCCTTCAAATATATGTCCATATATCCAATGTGACATCCAAAACAAAAATTTTTGCCATCTAAACCAGGCCAAGGTCCCGTCGGGCTTGCCTCCTTCCCTTTGACCTATCTATGCCATGATGCTCATGGCAGCTTAACTCTTATTGGATTTTCTTTTCTAACTGGATTTTATTCTAAAGATTAACCTTTGCTGTAACCAACTGAGCTACCAGAACCACTTGCCTAAAGTCTCTTTTCTTCATCTATGAGCATCCCAGTGGAGGAGTTTGCTCAAGAACCAAGAGCCGGCCAGGGAGTTGGATGAAAATTAAGATTTTTATGGCACACGCTTTTTAAACTGCTAAACGGTACGTTTCATGCGAGAACTTTCTATATGAAAGTTGCTCTAAAATATCATATTAATCTATTTTTTAAGTTTATAATAATTAAAACTCAATCACTCATATATCAATACCACCTCATTTTACGTAAAAAAACTTAATCTTCATCTCCATCTTCATCTTCAGAAGAAAAGAACACCACCTAAGTAGAGTGTTGTATTAGTTTTTTTACTACTGGCTCAATCTTGGGATAATTTACTATATATTATGATAAATTTATTTCCATTAGTTCGCGTGAATATTGACGGAATGGATATGCATCATCAATATCCATGCATCCATATATAAATACTTGTAGTCAGGCCGAAGATAAAGATTCACACCTCCTACTTCTTTCACGCAGCAGCGTACTCCCTATTTTAAATACAACCATAACTTTTTTATCCAATATCTAACCGTCCATCTTATTTAAAAAATTTATAAAAAAGTTTTAAAAATTAAGTCACACATAAATTACTATTTATATCTTATCATCTAATAACAATAAAAATACAAATTATAAAAAAAATTAAATAAGAAAGACGGTCAAACGTTGGACACTAAAACCCACAAGTACGCTTAATATGGGACATAGGGAGTAGTACTCTTGAAGGAACACATTTGTACATACAACAAATAGTGAGACAAATCATCATCCACTATTTGATACTCCCTCCGTTTCAGGTTATAAGACGTTTTGACTTTAGTCAAATTCAAACTGTTTAAAGTTTAACTGAGTTTATAGATAAATATAATAATATTTATAATACTAAATTATTTTCATCAAATCAATAGTTGAATATATATTGATAATAAATTTGTCTTAAATTGAAAATATTACTACTTTTTTCTATAGACTTAAATCAAATTTAATGTAGTTTGACTTTGACCAAAGTTAAAACGTCTTGTAACCTGAAACATAGGGAGTAGTACGAGTAGATGGGCGAGGCGTGGGATGGAGACGAAGAAGACAGCAACATAGGGCCTTTTTAGTTCGCGAAAAGAAAATTTTTGGCTATTACATCGGATGTTTGACCGGATGTCGGAAGGTGTTTTCAGACACGAATGAAAAACTAATTTCATAACTTGCCTGGAAACTGCGAGATGAATCTTTTGAGTCTAATTAATCTGTCATTAGCGCATGTGGGTTACTGTAGCACTCATGGCTAATCGTGGACAAATTAGGCTAAAAAGATTTGTCTCGCGATTTTCTCCTAACCGTGCAATTAGTTTTTTCTAAATCTATATTTAATACTCCATGCATATGTCCAAAGATTCGATATGAAGGTGTGTTTGGATCCCAGCCATTGAATGCCATAGCTACAGTATTTTCGCCGCGCTACAGTATTTTCTGAGGCGAACAAAATGTCCGCCACAGGACCTGTGGCGAGCCACGACGTGGCGTGGCATTCTAATGCCCTGTTTAGATGGGACTAAAACTTTTAAGTCCCTATCACATCGGATGTTTGAAAATTAATTATAAATATTAAACGTAGACTATTAATAAAACCCATCCATAATCTTGGACTAATTTGCGAGACGAATCTAATGAGCCTAATTAATCCATGATTAGCCTATGTGATGCTACAGTAAACATTCTCTAATTATAAATTAATTAGGCTTAAAAAATTTGTCTCGTGAATTAGCTTTTATTTATGTAATTAGTTTTGTAAGTAGTCTATATTTAATACTCTAAATTAGTGTCTAAAGATAGGGACTAAAGTTAAGTCCCTGGATCTAAACACCACCTAAGCCGCCAACCAAGCAGCCCCGGTATTTTTGGGAAAAATATTTGGGAACTAAACGAGGCCATACTTAATCAGCAGCTGCTGCCCAATCCGTCAATGGTTGGTGGGGTTTTTTAGTGGGCTGTCGCCGAGCGAGATTCCCAGTTCTCACAACTGGTTTAACTCTACATTTGATATCGAGGTACGTACACGTCTCTGGTTTGATATCAATTAATCTGTGTCTATGTGTCGCAACAATCGGTTCCCAGCATGTACGCGCGCGAAAACGGAACAATCTATTAGCGCGTGATTAATTAAGTATTAGCTAATTTTTTAAAAAATATAGATCAATATGTTTTTTAAATAACTTTCATATAGAAACTTTTTAGGGCATTTGTAAATTTTCCACTGGTTTTTTTAATATTGCAAGGATATCACTGGAATGATAGTACTAATGGCATTTTTGCAATTTTCTAGTGGCAGTTTTTTAATAACAATTCGGAGTAGTGGTAAATTTGTAAAAAAACAAACCGTTTAACAGTTTGAAAAGCGTGCGCGTGAAAAACGAGGTGGAGAGATGGGAACCAGCCGTTCCAAACACAGCCTGTGCCTTCTTCTTTTCTTAACATCTGTTAAAGTTTTTTCGACCCCCATCACCAACACCAAGGATCTTATATTGGATGCAAATGAGTATAGTAGTTGCGCTGCTGTAGTACCTAAACAATGCATGCGTCTTAATTTGGTAATCCCTAAACAACAACGATTGTTTTAATTATTAGAGATTAGTGGATAACCCGCCCGGGGTATGTCTACAATAGGAATTTCGCATAGAGGTATGGGTAGGATTGACATTTCACATCGTCAGATCAGATCAGATCTTGAGAAAGGGGCCGGCGGGGTGGGTGTGGAAGACTGCACACGTTGTACTACAACCCTAGCAGTCAGCTCTGCTTTCCCCAACGCGTTCTCAACCCTACTCCATCCCACTTCGTTGTCATCTCTGATGAATCTTTTCTCTCCTGCTGCAGGCTGCGTGTGCGCGGAGGAAAGGAATCTTTATGGAGCCAAAATTTCGCAGAGATAGGAATGGAATCCTTACGAAGCCAAAATTTCGCAGAGAGGAGGATATCTGTTTGAGGAAAAAAAGGACGGGGTCTCCCTTCCTGCAACAGAGTACGGATGAAGTCCAACATATGATTAGTGAAGTACTACTAGTAGCCTATTTGCTCTGCTTTCATTTCTTCTCTGGTGTTTGATTGATTGGGTGTGTTGATGATTTCTCATCGTTTCAAGATCCAGATGTGGTGCACCTACAGATGCAGTCTAGTTGCAAACCCTAGCTGCTAGGCTGTGTTTAGTTCACGTCAAAATTGAAAGTTTGGTTGAAATTGGAACGATGTGACGGGAAAGTTGTAAGTCTATGTGTGTAGGAAAGTTTTGATGTGATCGAAAAAGTTGAGATTTTAAAGAAAAATTTTGAAACTAAACACAGCCCTAGTATCAGATCGTTAGTGTTTAATACTACTACTATTTCTTCTCGCCCGGCGGTTTTATTTTTTTGCTTTCATTTGGTTGCTCAGTTGGACCGATGGATTTGCCGATTCATATTCAACATTATTATAAGTACTACTCCAAGCATGGCAACAATCAGTCTGATTGGTTGGTCGGCTGGATTGATTGAGCTGTGGTCTGTGGATTATTATTATCATTATCCTATTTTTACTTGTAACCTATATTTCCCCTGGTTTACATACACAGCCAGTGCGCTTTTAGCAGTATGTTTTACATGCTTTACTTTACATTAATCGTAATTTTTTTTTTTTTGCAGACCGCGTGATGATGTTACCGTTTGATGTGACGTACCTTAGTTTGTACGCGAGATTCAACAAGATGAAGGTAATTAAACGAATTACTTCTCTTGTGCTATGTCTACTACTCCTGTAGTACATGTGTTGCACTGTATTGCACTGTATTGACCCAGTAATTGGATTGTGAATACGCTCCATATGGGGCGTCCAATCTGGGGGACAAAAACAGGCGCCCCACATAGCTATTCATTCACTCATTTCTCTCTCCCGTATCTCACTCATCTCTCTAACTTATCTTCCTGCTCGTTTTCTCTCCTCTACTTTACTCTTTCTCTCTCTCACCAAGGCTTTGATGTGAGGACGAGGGCGCAGCGTCCCCGTCACTACTTAAAAAAACGATTTTTCATGACGACACCCTTTTATTTTTGCCGGCGGATTAATGAAACAAACGCTAGTAAAAACATATGGGAGGATTCTCGCTCATGAGCCGCCAGCGAAAACCGATTTTCGCTAGCGGAAACTTAGGAGGTACGTCATAAAAAATAACACTATTTTTTAGGCGGACCTCTTAAGTGTGGCGGTAGAGCACCGCTCGTAAAAAAAAATAAATCCCATTGCCCCACCACCCACAGCCCACCGCTCCTAACTACCCACCGCGCATTGGTTTCAATTTTCGCAAACAGTATTCTGACCGCTTGTGGAAAGTAAGGATTTTCACTGGCCTTTACCTGCTGGCGCGCCTGTGCAAATGTTTTTAGGCCGTCAGTAAAAATGTTTTTTCTAGTAGTGCGTAGCACCGCCACCGAAGATGGCGATGGAGAGGACGCCCGCAGCAGCGGCAAAGAGGAGGCGTGGGGCAGCCCATCGTGGCTAAGGAAGTTGAAGTACGTATCACCGGGTCATCGCGTTGCAGCACTTGAGGTTGTCGAAGGAAGCCTGATCCAACTAACGGAGAGGAGGAAGAAGCCAGACCTAGCCAGCATTGATTTTGTGAAATTTCCAGTGTTTCAGTCAATGCATTTTTGATGTTTCTTTTGTTGGATTGAAATGTTGTACCAAGTATTTTAATGTTGTTTCATTATTTTGTCTTCGATTCATTGCAGATGTGTAGATATTTTTGATTCACTGCAGATGTGTTGATATTTCACCAAATTGAATTTGAATGTTTTGTGTGAGACCAAAATGTTTCAGGCCTAAGGCCCTAATTGTAGTGTATTTTTATCACTATTTCTTTCATTTAGCTCGCAATCTAAGGCTTTAAAATTCATTAGGTGGAACGTCTTGTTTTTGCTGTTTAAGGGCATTAGCATTGCGATGCATTGTGTGCACGTACTACTATGCATCTATGCCACACGGGTTGGGTGCTTTTTTATACAACTAGTAACATGTAAAAGTGATAAGGGCTTAGTATCACATTCCTTGCTGTGATAATTGCAAATCAAACCTTGTATTTTTCGTGGGCTGTCCTACAGCAGACAATTCCATACTATGGTACGGTGCGCTCGCTCATAGACGGGTATCAATTTGATTTGTTGTTTTTACGATGCTGAACAATTTTATCTATCTGAGTTCCACCGCATAAATATGTAAATAGAGATGTTATATCTGTGGATGGGTAACCAACGACCACTTCCATTCACGTGAAGAGTTAAACTAAGTTTAAATTGTACTGTCATGCATCAAAATTAATTGATCCCCCATTACGTGACACCACTTTGAATCTTCTATCATGCCGCAGGGGCCGGTGGGCAAGGCGTCACTTATTTGCGGAGGAAAGGAAACCCATGATGCCAAAATTTTGCAGATAGGAGATGGAGGAGATTCAGTTCATTGTGTGCAAAAAAGACGACTGATCTCCCCCTGCAAATGTGTACGGAGGAAGCCTATGATTGGTATTACAACTCGTATTGATGAGCACTACACCATGGTACAGAGGCAGTAATATATCCCTACTTCTCTTAAATAAATTTGCTCTGTTTTTGCTGTGTTCTTTTCTCCACTGTTTGATTGTTTCTGCTGATGATTTTTACATCTTGCGTCCCATGGGGAACCCGTACGCCTGCAAACGTCCAGTTTCTAGGTAGATTAATACTCCGTCCGTCCCAAAAAGAATCAACCTAGGTTGAGTTTTTTTGGGACGAAGGGAGTACTCCCGATGAGGTGCACCTATATATAGAGCCTGCTTAGTAGAGCTCTAACTCCTAAATTTAACTTTAGGAGTTGGGTCTAGAGGGGAGTTGTGGAGCTACCTAAACCCAGCTCCACCTCTCTAGATCATTTTGTGAGAGCTCCACCCAGCTCCACTCCAATTTTAGGTCTCCAATTTTAGGTGGAGTTGAAACTGTTTTGTTGAGCTCTAGCTCTAGTGCCACAATATACAATTTCTACTAAAATATGACATGTTTTATATGATCTGACATGTGGGACGAAACTCTGATATGCTCACATAAGTATGGTCATATGGTGGATGAAAGAACTCATGAATCCCCCACGTGTCAGATCTGGGTTAAATTGGTCAATTATTTGGTGTTATGAAACAGTAGTGCTAAAACTTATGTGGTTTTGTGTAACTTGGACCATAATAAATAATACTAACATCTTCAATTTGTCCTAAAATAAGTTCCCAATGCTCCTTCAAATTGTCTGAAAATAAGTTCATCTTTAAAGTAATCATTGCATTGGAATATGCGAAAGTAGTGAATAATTGTATTGAAAGTAGATAAAGCGAGTAATAGTTGCATTGGGATTTTATAAAGTAGGAGTATTGTAGTCTAAAATAAACTTATTTTGAGATGGAGGCAGTAGTAATAGCACTCCCTATGAGGTGCACCTATAGATGCAGTCTACATGCCGTCTAGCTGGCCATATATGAGTGATTTATATTTTTTATAGTTTACTATTACTCCCTTTGTTTTATTAAAATATAAAAACTCTTGAAGTTATAATATTTTGTTAAAAAAAGAACCTACTACTTGTAAAAGGTGATTTTTACCACCAACTTACTTAAAATGCCTTACCCACACTACTACGAAAGGGTTTTTCTGCAAAAGGGCGAAAAGCATTTTTGCATGCGGTTGGGCCAGCCGCATGCACAGAAAGGTCTGCGAAAATCGCGATCTTTGCATGCGGCTAGGGCAACAGCATGCGGTTGCTTACATGGGCCGCATGCAAAAATAAAAATCTAAAAATCGCAAAAAAAATCATGCCGGCCACGCGTCGGCGTCGTGGGATCCCGCTGCTCCCACCGTTTGCTCCCACCGCTGCCCGTTCCCGCCGTCGGATCCAGGCGGGAGGAGGCCCGCCGCCGTTGCTCCCATCGACCACCAGCGTCGTCGTGGAAGTCGCCCACGCGTCGCCGCCAACCGCTCCTGCCAACAGATCTAGGCTGGAGGAGGCTGAGCTGTCGCCGTTGCCGCCACCGCCTTGTCGGCGGCGGGGAGGGGGGGGGACGGAGCCGGCCGCCGCCAACGGCGACAGTGAGGAGGGGATGGTGGTGGTGCCGCCGCCTACTCGCCTGATCCGCCGCCCCCGCTGCGCGCCCGCCGTCGCAGCAGCCGCTCCCTAGGGCGGTGGATCCAACCTTCCTGAGGGTGGCGCCGCCAAATCCGCCGCCCGCCGACGCCATTGCCACCCGTCCTGCTCCCGGTCGTCGCTGCCCGCTCTTGGAGAGAGAGCGGGGAGGACATAAGAAAACGAGAGATAGAAGAGGATAGGAAGAGAGAGAGAGAGGGGAGACTAAAATAGAGAGAGAGAGAGGAGATAGAAATAATTTGAAGTGGTGGGAGGGAAAAGAGAGTGGAGGGAGATGAAAAAAAGGGGTGATTTTTTTTGTTTGCGGGTATCTTAAGTGGTCCGCATGTAAAAATGCTAACTCATTTTTCCATGCGGGCTCTTAAGTGATTCGCATGCAAAAACGAGCTTATTTTTACATACAGACCTCTTAAGAGCCCACATGGAAAAAAAACGATTTTTCCATATGGGCGCCTTAAAGAGCCGTATGCGAAAATGCCGCTCGATTTTTCCAGACGCGACAACTTACGGTCCGTTTGCAAAAATCATGGGTCCCGTACAGAAAAATCGTTTTTGTAGTAGTGCCACTCCTTAACAAGTCATTTTTGCCCCTCCTTGCTGGCTGTGATGTCGAGGGCGATTTTGTTTTGTTTGCTTTTCTTTGATGGCTCCATTAAATTGGATCGATGGAACCAAAATACTTACTCCATGATCGATGGAGTACATGTTAGTAATATAAATCCATGATCCCAATCTAGAGTTCGGATTGCGTACTGTCACTTTTGTAAAGTAAATTGCACGTAACCATAGGTATTATGGTCTAAGTAATACAAAACCATATGGGTTTTGGCATGTGACACATAACCACGAGTATTACGAGTATTACGGTAGTGTTTCATAAAATCGCACAATTGACAAATTCTACTTAAATATGACGTGAGATGATAGTTTTATATGATCTGACATGTGGGATGAAACTTTTACATGCTCAGTGAAGTATGGTGGATGAAATAACTCGTAAACCACCCCCTCCCCTCCCCCCCTACATGTTAGATTTGGATTAAATTGGTTAATTATGTGGTTTTATGAAACAGTAGTATAACTTTGATATAATACCTACGGTTTTGTTCAAACATTTTTACGACTGTGCGATTATTTGTTGATGCACTTTACCCGAGTTTCTAGATTTATCATAAAAATTGGATTATCCATAATAAGAATTAGTTAATTCCTTCATTTGTACAGTCAAATACTAGCAATCAGTGAAAAAAATAGATTATACAGTATGTCGAGCCAAAAAAAAATCAGCTATCTCAAACCGGGCCAAAAGTTTCAGCTATGTCAAACCAAGCCTTCAACTTCCTGCCTGCCTTGCGGATCCCCAAACTCCCAAAGTCGAACATGAAGGCCCAGTAGTCTCTATTCGCACTTTCTCAACAAGGGGCAAAAAAAAATCTCTATTGGTCGTCGTACACTCGCTTCACTTTCCCCTTCCCTTCTACTCTCTGGAAACCCCTTTTCCCCGTCTCCCTTCTGGTGGACGAGGCGGCCAGGAAGGGGCGACGAGGAATTGGGAGGGAGATCTGCGGAGATGTCGAGTCTTTTTCGGTTCGGCCGCCGGAGATGGACGCTGTGCCGTGCGCTGACCGCCGGCGGCAGCAAGCAAGCCGAGGATAACTCAGGTCAATCCACTCGTCTCTAGGGATGGTCTAAGTTTTGTTTCCCTAGCTGATCTTGTAGATTAAAACCTTATTGATCTATGTGATGGTCTATTAAGTTGGGTTGGCTCGGATTTGTTTCCTAGTTGATCTTGCAGATTAAACCCTATTAATTTGTGTGATGGTCCATTAATTTGGCGAATTTGTTTCTCTCGTTTATATATATTAAAAAAATCCTCTGATTTGTACTGGGCGTGGAAACTGGGGATTTGTTTCTCTAGTCTGTTTGAGATCTGGTAGATTTGCTTGGCGTGGAGACTGGGGGAGGTGGGGGCAATGTCAAAGCAGTCCTTTTTTTTTACTCTATTGTTCGATCTTGGAGATTACCCCCCGGTAGATTTGTTCTTGTGGATTATTCCCCTGCTGCTGAGCTGTTGTTTGATCTTGTAGAGATTATCCCCTGCTACTGATCTATTATTGTTTGATCTTGTGAATTATCCTCTGCTGCTGATCTATTGTTAGAACTTGTAGATTATCCCCTGGTAGATTTGTTCTTGTGGATTATCTACCCTGCTGCTGATCTGTTGTTTGATCTTGTAGATTATCCCTGCTACTGATCTTTTATTGTTTGATCTCGTGAATTATCCTCTGCTGCTGATCTATTGTTAGAACTCGTAGATTATCCCCTGCTGCTGATTTGTGCTGTTATTTTCATGCTCGTTTTGGCTGTTTGGTGATGGTGTTTTTATGTGTTCTTTTGTATGCATGCAGGTGTTTTTCGAGATCCCGGCGAGCGTGGATTCAGCACAAGGCCCAATCTTTCTTTGGAACAGTTGAGTGTTGGCCCTGGGGACACTGCGGACTTACTGCGGAAAGTACTTCCAGGCATTCGTGATGCAAGTAAGACCTTTGCTATCCCTGCGTTGAAGCAAGTGTTTGAGGACAGCATTCGTCCACTACTTGTTTCAAAGTGTTTACTCATTCACCAGCCTCTTGATAAATCCATGAAAACTTTCAACCAAAGAACAAATAACCTGTTGAAGAAGTCTCCACGCTACCTCAGTGCCCTAGATGTGACCACAGAAAAGGAAATCCTGCTGGAAGATGAATGGACTTTGTTCCTTGAGCACATCTTTAAACATAGGGTCATTGTTGTAGATGATTGGACAAAGTGCTACGGGACCGTTCAGACCTTCCTCCACTCGAGTGATGCTGAATCATGCAGTGATTCTTTCAAGGGGGAGTGTGATGCTTCATTCTGTGAGCAAACTGGAAAGGCAAAACTTGCCTTTGTCATCTTTAAAGAGGGTAAACTTGTCTGGGCTGAGGTTTTCCATGAGGTACCTTGCAAGAGTGTTGTGGAGGCAGAGGCTTTGGCAGTCATAGCTCTCCTCTTCAAGCTTATTGACCTTAACTTGTTAAGAGGGACTGTTTGGACCGACAACAAGGTCTGTTATAATGTGCTGAATGGTGAATATGAGATAAAGGTTGATGATCCCAACAGGTCGCTGTTTCTGTTTCTGAGGAGTTTGAGAGGTCGCTTTGAGTCCTTGACCCCGGTCTGGAAACCCAGAGAACTACTGCTGATCCCAGATCGTCTGGTTAGTATGGTTGATGACCCCCTGATATCAAGGAATAGATTGGTACTCAGTATACTGGAAAAAACAGTTCCAATTCTTAGTCAGCCGCAGTTCAGGATATCATGGAGCAGCTATCTGCGAACAATTTTTGGTATGCTCTGTTTCCTTTTTTTTGCCCTGTTATAACATGTTGTTTCAGATTATGCGTGTTTCAGATATAATTTGTACTCTTGCATTTTTCAATTTTTGGTATGCTCTGTTTCCTTTTTGCCTTGTCTGATGATAAAATAAAAATTGCTCTGCTCGACACTAATGCGGGCGACTAACTAGCAAAAAGGCCTTGTTTTTGTGGGTGCGCCAGTTCCAAAAACTCGTGTTTTTTACTCTTTTGGCAGTTATATTTTTCTATTTTGTACACGCCGCTCTGTAGACTCTTAGTCCGTCCAGCACTCCAGCCCCTACAGATATGAATGCTCCATATATAGGCATCTTAACTGGGGAGTCATAAGAATACTCGGTTTCAGATGAGATGAGTATTGTAGTAGTCAACACTTACAGCTCACATGCACATATTCACCAGAAGTGTCTTGGCCCTTTGACACGTTCCAGATTGATTTTTAGTCTGGCAAGTAAAGCGCGATTTGTATAAATGCATTGCCTCAATGTTCGGTAGTTAGAACATTCATAAGATAATTATCAGATCAGTGGTTCAGTACTTCAGTTTTTTACATCCTACATTGTTTGGGTTATAGTCACATTTGCTGCTTACTCTGTCTCTCCTTATGTATTTAATTTGTCATGTTTTCTTTTTTTCCTCTGTTATAACATTGTTGTTTCAGATTGTGCTTGTTTCAGATTTAATTTGTACTCTTGCTTCTTTTTTTTCCAGACAAACGTGATGGTGGAAAACAAATTTCTAACACAACAAATGAAATTAAGGAATCAGATGAATCCGAGGATTCAATCTGTTGGGTTAAGGCTGATGATGAAGAAGCTGAAATTGCTTCCTTTCTTGAAATTATGAAAACTTTTTCAGCCCATCGCTTGCTTATTGTGGTTGACAACTTTGAAGACAAATCTCCTCATTATCAAAAGTTAATTAAGGATCTCTCTCAAAAGTTTTACACGTGTTGGATGAGTAAAGAAGGCAGTGTCACAATTGTGGAGTATGACTCTCCTAACACTGAAGAGAAAGAGACCAAAAGATTGGTGGTTATGTTTGGTGGGACAATGGCACTGGATGAATATATCCACCAAAAAAATCTCTGTACAGTTGTTTTGGTGAAGACATCTGAGATTAAGCTGCTAAGAGATGCTGGAATCGAAGAAATAAGTGCTAAGACACTTCTGAGTTTTCGCAACAGTAAGTTTGTTTATCTTTTTTTCAGCTTTTCTCGTAGTTTTTTTGTGACTTGCTATGTAAATTTAATGAAAATTATTTCTTTGCAGTCAAAGCAAAACCAGTTGTGCCAAAGAAACCTCGGGAGGATGAGGATCTAGAGAAGGGGGGGGGGGGGGGGGGGGGGAGGGCAGGTGGTGAATAGGATGAGGAGAGGGCAGGTGTGAAGATAAGGTGGACAACTCACTGAACTTCAGTCTTTTGCATGATTCCTTGCGACGGCAGATTCCTTCGGTCTTTTACATGTTTGATACTTTGATGCATCGTTGAGACAGTTTTTTTTGTACCTGAATCATGATGTTCATGTCACAACCGTACGTGATGCTCAAGTAATCTTATCTGACAATGTAGCTTAGCTAACTAAAACATATGAAGATAAAGGTGGACAACTCACTGAACTTCAGTCTTTTGCATGATTCCTTGCGACGGCAGATTCCTTCAGTCTTTTACATGTTTGATACTTGATGCATCGTTGAGACAGTTTTTTGTACCTGAATGAATCATGATGTTCATGTCACAACCGTACGTGATGCTCAAGTAATCTTATCTGACAATGTAGCTTAGCTAACTACAAACATATATCTCTATGAAGAACAATGCAAAATCTATATAAACTTGAGCACCAAGCTTGTGATTGCCATATGACACACATACTGCATTGAGATCAGACGAGCACCGAATGAGGATCGCCGTTTTCCCCGCCAAAAAAATGGGGTCGGAGTTTTGGCGGTATATTTTCTTTTTGTCCTTTTCATTTTTCCATCTCTCTTCGTTAATTTTTTTTCCCAATCTCTCGTTCCATCAGGATGTACGTTTTCCTCCGCGCGAAGCAATCTGGACCGCTGAAATTTGATCGAACGGCCTGAACATGCCCAAATTATATTAGACAGGGCTCACATCATACACCGAATTAAAGCCCAGGCTCACGAAGTTGGGGATCGCTAGTTGGCGCATACGCAGCGCTTTGTTGGGATAAGGCGGTTAGACTAGTATTAGTCTTAGATAACAACAGTTTGAGATAATGACGGTAGTAGATAAGATTTTTCTTTTTTCCGCGAGATTTTTTTACTAACAAATTGAAAAGAAAAAATATATATCTAAAGTCAAATTTTGAAAATTTTAAACCCAGATTTGAAAACTTTTAACTCAAAATTTAAATTTTTTAAGTCAAAATTTGAAAACTTTCAAGTTTTCATCTCAAACTTGAAAACTTTCAACTCAGATTTGAAAACTTTCAACACAGGTTTGAAATTTTTCAACCAAGATTTGAAAACTTTCTATTCGGATTTAAAAACTTTTAACTCGAGATTTGAAATTTTCGAATTCAGATTTGAAAATTTATAAGTTAAGATTTGAAAACGAATTAGCAATCACCCATGAAGTTAGGACCTGTTTAGTGCAGCCTAAGAGTTTTACGTAAAATGATAGCAGAACTGAGTGGAGCGCTCTCACAAAATTTTAAAAAAGGTGGAGCTAGGTGTAGCCCGGAAAAGCTAGCTCGCGCACGCGCCGCCAGCGTGCGTTCCGGGGGAGTTAAGACGTACTAAGTAAGTTAGCTAAGGATAATTACGAAATTAAGAGTAGATTTTTTCTGGAGATTTTTTTACTAACTGATTGAAAACTTTCGAGTTGGATTTAAAAACTCTTGACTTAAGATTTAAACTTTGAAGTCAAATTTTAGAAACTTTCAACTTAAACTTTTAAAATTTCAACTCGAGATTTAAATTTATAAGACAAATTTTAAAAACTTACAACTCAGATTTGAAAACTTTCAACTCGAGATTTGAAAATTTTTAAGTTTAAGATTTAAAAAACTTTCAACTCGAGTTTTGAAAACTCTCGACTCGAGATTGAAAAATTTCAATTTGAAAATTTTCAACTTAAAATTTAAATACTTTCAACTCAAACATTTGAAAACAAGTCTGCTAAAGATTAAAAAAAATTAGAAAAAAGGCACAAAGGAAACTGAAAATATTTGGAAAAAAATAAGAAAGCGAAAAAAAGAGAAAAAATCGCAAAAAAAAAGGGAAAAAGGGGCTGCCAGCCGCGCGCGCCAATTAGCCACGCCCGTGTTTAGCCTGCTTCATAACTTTATTTTAGATCCAAGTCATGAAATGAAAAAAAAAGAAGGTGAAGCTGGGTTTTGCTTGCTCCAACTCCTATAGCTAGATTTAAGAGTTTGAGCTTTACCAAATATGCCCTTAATCAGCCCAACACCAGCACACCGCCACCCGTTCAGACGATCTGGACAGTAGAAGCTTCATCCAACGGCCCATGGTCCGTGGATAATACTAAATTGCGAGTTCGTGACAAACGTGACTAGCTAGGGAGAGGTGCTGAGAATCGAAGCTGGTGAGTGTCGCGACTAACAAGAATAATAATATCCTTCCCAGATACCGGTGAATTCGTTCAAGTGGCGTACGCAAACCTCAAGGTTAACATTATGAAAACCCATATGATACTAGCCACGAGGTAATTGTCTGAGCTAATTAGCACAAACAGCACGTGCAGATGTACTTCGTAGACTTCGTATACACGCCAGGCTGTATTTGCAATCCCATGTTCCCAATCACTCTCTTTTTTCGCGCGCACGCTTTTCAAACTACTAAACGGTGTGATTTTTTTAAAAAAATTGTATACGAAAGTTGCTTAAAAAAATCAAATTAATCCATTTTTGAAAAAAATAACTAATACTTAATTAATCACGCGTTAATGGACCGTTCCGTTTTCCGTACGTGAGGGATTTGTTCCCATCCCTTGATTACGAACACAGCCTGTTGAAGTTCCAATATCCTCGAAAAACAAAAGAAAAAAAAAATCCAGCGGTTAACAGGGTTTACCAAACCATTTTATATTGTGTTCTTAAGTCCAAGTTCCCAAGGCTTTTCAAACTGTTAAACGGTGTGTGTTTTGTAAAAAATTTCTATAGAAAAGTTGCTTTTAAAAATCATATTATTCCATTTTTAAAAGTATTTTAAGCTAATAATTAATTAATCACGTATTAATCCATTGCTCCGTTTTTCGTGTCGGAGGACCTAAGAACACAACCAGATTTGACGATTATCGCGACGTATACTATAGTTTTAAAAACTAAAAAGGTACTGCACGTGATAATCACGTGATAACGGTTCACGTCAATCGCTCGTTTGGAACTAAGGAACAGAGGAAGGCAGAATATAGGAGAAGTTTCCTGTAATCTGTACCTTTGCAGTTTGCACCCAAAACGGGGAAAACCAATGTTTTCTCTTCCTATGCTGAAAAGTGAGAGGAGCGGGAGAGAGAAAAATCATGTATTCCAAACACCCAACTATCTATTCTTCTTCATGTGCTTTTCTACTCATTTGTTGTACGTACATCCGCATTCCTTTTTTTTTTTGTATTTTTGTGTTTTGTTTTTCAGCGTTCCAAACATATCTTTGTTTCTGTGTTTTGTAGTTCTGTTTTCATATACATCCCTACGGAGATTCCATTTTTTTATATTCCTATATTTTACTATTCCTGCGTTTGAAAGGGAGCATAGCCATTTTTATCCCTTATTCCTTTATAACTTCACCAATTACCAGACATACTATAGGGCCTCTTTAAAATGAAGGAAAAGCAAAGGGAAAAAAAAGGAATTTTAATCTTATAGGAAATAACACTGTTGAGTGTTGATGTCTTTGACTCGTATGAATGAGCAAACGAGAAACATAGGAACTTTTCCTTGCAATTCAAGAGGAAAAACATAAGAAATTTATCCCCTCTTTGATTTGTACGACAAACATTGAAATATTGGAGGATCTTGATCCTACATGAAAATTTCCAAGAAAGGCCTTTGAACAAAGCATTAACTCCCACCATTTTATTTGAAATTCCTATGAAATAAAAATACTATAAAGATATTGAAGAAAAGTTAGCAAAAAAACTTCAACCTCATAGAAATTTCATTTGAATATCTATCATCCGACTCGTGGGTTTTTGTGTGGTCTACTCAAACAATCATTCCTATTTTTTAATCTATTTTGCAATCTATATTTTACACTTAACAAAATACTAAGTTATTTCTATTTCTCTTTTTTTTTCAATCTTGCGTTTCAAAGAGCCCTTTAAGACTCCTTTGAAATACTCTCCCTATTTCGTATTATAAGTCATTTGACTTTTTTTTTTGTTAGTCAAACTTCTTTAGGTTTGACCAACTTTATAGAAAAAAATAGCAACATCTACAACACCAAATTAGTTTCATTAAATTTAACAATAAATATATTTGGTAATATATTTGTTTTGTATTGAAAATGCTAGTATATTTTTCTATAAACTTAATCAAACTTAAAGAAATTTGATAAGGAAAAAGTCAAACGACTTATAATATGAAACAGATAGAGTATAAAATTATCAGTTCCAAACCAGAATGGAACTATAAGTTTATCAATAAACAAACTTGGTGTGAAATAGATACAAAATAAAAAGAAAGTTTCGTGACAGCCTGGTAATGTGGACCGGAGCAATCACCTATATACCATTACCTCGCAAACTGCATGCTACAAACTTCATCTGTTTTCTAATAGATAATACTATTGACTTTGATCTGATGTTTAATCATTCGTTCTGTTCAAAATAAATTATAGAAATATTGTTTATTTTGTTTGTGACATATTTTATCATTAAAGAATATTTAAGCATGACTTATACTTTAGCATATTCACACTAATTATTTAAATAATGCGAACAGTCCAACGTTATTTCAAAAGTCAACGTCATTTATTAAAATATATATTTTTTGAAAAAAAATACATGCTAAATATAGACGTGCTAGGAACTTGTATAAATAGGGGTGAATGCTTTTGTTACATTGCATCGGCATGCAAAGTGGTCAGCAGGCTCCTTAACAACTAGCTATAGCTACCTGTAGGGGTGAAAATGGTTTGGAATTTTTCCAGATTCCGGACCTATTTTCGGAAACGGAATCAGCCGGTCGGAATTTTTTCGGAATTTCTCAGAAACGGAATCGGAAACGGAAATAATTTTTCGGAAACGGAATTGAATATGATAATAGCAGTTTCCGTCGGAACTCAGAATCGGTCGGAAAAATTCCGGAAAGTTTGTCGGAATTTCTGAAGTTAAAAAGGCCCATCCAAATAGTCCATAATTCCTCCCCAAGTTCCCAGCCCAACCCAAGTCCCTAAATCACTAACTGGCTAACTCTAAAAAGGAGAGAGGCTAACCCTAGAGAGGAGAGAGGCGTCGTATCTAGATCGAGAGAGGCGGCGCATCCAAAGCCTACCTGTGCCTGCAAACAAAGATGGCAAAGCATGGTGTTGCTTCCATTTTAACACTGGCACTGGTCCTTGGAGTACTTGCGGTCACTCCTAAAGGTAAGTATATACTACCTCCGTTTTTTAATAAATGACGCCGTTGACCTTTTCTCACATGTTTGACCATTCGTCTTGTTCAAAAATTTTATGTAAATGTATAAGATATAAATCACACATAAAATACTATGAGTGATAAAACAATTCATAACAAAATAAATTATAATTACGTAAATTTTTTGAATAAGACGAATGGTCAAACATGTGAGAAAAAGTCAACGACGTCATCTATTAAAAAACGGAGGTAGTATATATACTACTACATGAATGATTTTTGCGTGCAGGTGGAATTGATTTTTACGTGCGGAGCTTCTACCCGTCTGGAAGTGTGCGTCTGTGAAAATCCCGATTTTTTCGTGCGGGTGACACACCCGCACGTGAAAATCGATTTTCGCGTGCGGGCGCCGCACGCACGGGAAAATTAAAAACCGAAACCAAAAAAAAAAAACAAAATCAACCCGCAAACCCTAACCTAGCCGCCGTTAACACCGCCGCCGCCGTCGTCGCTGCCTTGCCCGAGGCCCGTCGTCGATGTCACCGCCACCACCGTCGTCATCGCTGCCTTGCCCGAGGCCCGCCACCGCCGTCCCCACGGTCGCCACCGCCGCACTCGCTGATGCCGCCGCAACGCCCTCTGATGCCACCGCTGATGTCGCTGCGGCGCCCGCCGATGTCGTCGCCGCACTCGCTGATGCCGCCGCCGATGCAGCCACGACGCCCGCCAATGCTGCCGCCGCCATCGATGCCGCCGCCTCCCCCGCCCTAACCGAGGGCGCCGGCGTCGCCGAGAAGGGGATGGGGAGGAGGAGAGGGAGCGGGAGAGGGAGGATTGGAGGATGTGGGGAGGAAATTAATGGCAGCGCTCGCCCGTGACAGGAGAGGATAAGGTTGCCAGCGTGTGGGGTGGGTTATTTTCGTGTGCGGGTCACTTAACAGGCCCACATAAAAAAATAGGCTTATTTTCGCATGCGGGCCTGTTAAATGACCCGCACACGAAAATAGATTTTTCTGTGCGGGCGACGCCCTGATGCTCGTCCTTTATTTTTCTGTGCGGTTGCACTTATGGTCCGTTTGAAAACAATCTGGTCTAGTGTCTAGGAAAATCTTTCATACATATAACCGGCTCAAACATCGCCCTCACCATGGGCGTCGCCAACGAGAACCTCTCCGCGTTCGCCTCCGACCCCTCCGCCGTGGCCAATTGGGTCAAGCAGAACGTCCAGGTCTACCCGGGCGTCAACTTCCGCTACATCGCCGTCGGCAACGAGGTTGAGAGCGGCAACACGCAGAACGTCCTCCCGGCCATGCAGAACATGAACAGCGCGCTCTCCGCTGCCGGCCTCAGCAACATCAAGGTGTCCGTGTCGGTGTCCCAGAAGGGCGTGCTCGCCGGGTACCCGCCGTCCAATGGCATGTTCTCCCCCGAAGCGACCTCGTACATGACGCCCATCGCGAAGTACCTGGCGAGCACCGGCGCGCCGCTGATGGCCAACGTCTACCCCTACTTCGCCTACGTGGGCAACCTGCGGGCCCAGATCGACGACATCAACTACGCGCTCTTCACGTCGCCGGGCACGGTGGTGCCGGACGGCAGCAAGGCTTACCAGAACCAGTTCGACGCCATCGTCGACACGTTCTACTCCGCGCTGGAGAGCGCCGGCGCCGGGAGCGTCCCGATCGTGGTGTCGGAGAGCGGGTGGCCGTCGGCCGGCGGCACGGCGGCGAGCGCCAGCAACGCGCAGACGTACAACCAGAACCTGATCAAACACGTCGGGCAGGGGACGCCCAAGAGGGCCGGGAGAATCGAGATCTACATTTTCGGAGATGGATTCTAATAGCTTGAGTGGACGTCCACCCGTTTACTGCATGTCAACTAAATGGTTACGAAATATTTTTAAAAAAATTGACAAGATAGATCAGTATGTAATATATCACTTCACAAACATGCAAATTCAAATTCAACTTCTACAAGTTGTACCAAAAATAAAAAAATTTAACTGTAAATATACATATATTAATTTGAGTCTTGTTTGTTATATTTGTTAGAATTTGTAGAAGTTGATTTTTAACTTGCATGTTTGTGGAGTGATATATTACATATTTATCTATCTTGTTCATATTTTTTTAATTTTTTCATAACCATTTACATGACATACAATAAACGGGTGGACGTCCACTCGATTGAGCTGTTAAAACAGTTCCCGCCAATGTTCAACGAGTACGACAAGAAAGGCGCCGACACCGAGAAGCACTTCGGCCTCTTCAACCCGGATCAGTCGCCGGCCTACACCATTAATTTCTAAAGAGAACAGCACTTACAGGCTCCATACAATTAAGGACATCGATGAGGAAAGCAACGACTATATAGTACTCCCTCTGTCCTATAATATAAGGGATTTTGAGTTTTTGTTTGTAACGTTTGATCACTCGTCTTATTCAAAATTTTTTGAAATTATTATTTATTTTATTTGTGACTTACTTTATTATCTATAGTACTTTAAGCAGAACTTTTCGTTTTTTATATTTGCCAAAAAAATTTAAATAAGACGAGTGGTCAAATGTTGTAAGGAAAAACTTAAAATCCCTTATATTGTGGGACGGAGGGAGTACGTAAGTTCCAGTTGCATGTTTGGATTTGATCGAATAAACTGTTACGTATATATACGTAACACTTGCATGTTTTGGATAGGCTATCTGTCATTTAATTTAAGCATGATGTGGTAAGCTTGTTTAGTCAAGGTGCCCGCGCTGCTGGACATTCTCAACATGAACATCCCTATAACGACAATAAAATACTCGGAATTACATGCTAAGAAGACAAGGAAAGATGACTGTATGGATAGAAGCAGTTCAAGCCCATTGAGAGTTTTTACAGCATGTTAATTAAGGAGTACAAGGAAAATAAAATCCTACTATTCAAAAGGGGGAGGACAGACTCCCCCAAATCTCCGACTTCCTCCATCACGCCCTTGCACGCGTCATCGGCGGCCTCCTGGTCCAGAGCCCTCCTCAGGTCCAAGTCGGGATGCGCCGGCCTTACGCACGCGAGGACGTGGCACGCCCTGGTGTAGATCCCGTTGGACGTCTCCTCACCGATCCTAGCCGCATGCTTGGAGGGGATCTCCTCCATTGCCGTAGCTAGCTCCGCGAGCGAGGACATCAGCGAGAACTCGTCAGGGTTCGCCGGGATGGTGGTCGTGACGCCGCACTACCCGGCGAGCTGGTGTAGGCCGGTGTAAGATACCCGTAGCGAGCCGCGGATCTCTGACAAGTTGTTCTCGAGCTCCGACATCCGGTGCTCGAGCCCTTGTCGCTACCTTTCGTTGCCGGCCACCAGCCCCCTCATCTTCAGGAGGTCCTCGCGGGCCTCCGCCAGTTCACGCGCTAGCTTGTCGGCGCGTTGGTTCGCCGACGACGCCGCTGCCTTGGCCTCCTCGATCTCGCAGCCTACGCTGCGAGCACCGGCCTGGAGGATGCACTCCATCTCTGCTTGGAGCTCCCCCCAGGTGAGGGCATCGGCAGGCGGGCCCCGAGCAGGCACAAGGCCGACGGCGAGGCTACTCGGCGTCACCTCCCGGTCCTTAGTAGCGACCACGACATCTGTCGAAGTCGCTGCAGGGGACGTGCTGGAAGTCGAACCAGTCCCGCCTTGCGCCGGCTTCGCCCGTGCCGCCCTGCGAAGAGTTTCCTCTCTTTCATGAAGCTAGTTAATCAGGACTTTGTGAATGAAAAAACTTCAAAAAATATCCACTTACTTCTTGCCGATCGTCACAAGCCTCTGCCTTCGCTGAGGTGGAGGAGACGCGTCCGAGGCCTAAGTGAGATAGGATGATGTGAGGCTAAATCATTCCGACTACATGCTAAAGAACAAGAGAGGCTTACCACCGGGCTTGGCGCCTTCCGATAGGTCCCGAGTACAGAGGAGAATTTCCTCCCCTTCTTCGGAACATTGCTGCCACTCATGGTAGCAGCAGCAATGTCGGACGCCTCCTTGGTGACGCCCTCCTTCAAGGACGCTGCCGCTTAGTGGTCCATAAGTGGCCCGATGACGTCCGTCAGAGGGAGAGCCTGCATAACATGAAGTCACGACGCGATCCTGGGGAGGAAGATGTAAAGGATACATCGAGTACACTCACGTTGATCGCAGCCTCGTGTTCAGCCGGACCCTTCTCGCAAAGGGGGATCGGGATGTCGCTCGCCGTCGAGGCAGCGCTGATCATCACCTGGCCGACGCGGCGGTTCATGGTGTCACTGTCCAGACCTGTAGATCGAGAACAGAAACTCGATAAGTCGGGAGAAACAGACATATCCAGGACAAAATCCGAAATACAAGAAAAAAAATACCCCGAGGAGAGACCCGGGTCGTGTCCTCTGGCCCCGAGTAATCAAAGGCCGGATGGGCGGGGGCCTGGAGCGGTTGGATCCGTCTACTTATGAAGTCGGCAGCGACTTCATACCCCGACAACCCTCGAGTTCGGAGGTTATCGATGATGTTGATGAAAGACTGAAGGGAGGGAGTCAGGGCAGGTTTGGCGGTCCACTCTGGGATTTTGTCTGGTTGTTCTTCCGGGACAACAAGGACGGGATCCGAGTTTTCTATCTGAAGATAGAACCATCTCGCCCGCCATTTGCTACGAGAAGAGGGGCACTGGAAGGGGATGTAACGCGACTTCAGGCGATCCCAAAGTCGGAATCCAACACATCCGGATACCCTATTGGATTCCATCCAGCGCAACTCATAGTAAAAACGGAAAAGATCAAGGAAGGGCTCTACCCCAATATAGGCCTCGCAAAGATAGGAGAAAATACTAAGGAATGCGATGGAGTTGGGGTTCAGGTGAAGCAAAGAAAGGCCATAAAAGTTCAAGACAAGAAGAAGAAATTTGGAAGGCGGAGGAAGAAAACCGCAAGAAATGTAATCTTCGACCGCAACCATACGGCCCAAGATGGGTTCGGGTTCAATACCTCCTAACTCCCTCTGCATGGTCCCGCGACCAGGAAGGCGCCGTCATCTTGCAACTTCTTCAGGGACGCGGTGGTGGAGGTGGACTTGTCGAGATCCATCGCTGCCGGAGGATCGCCGGAGAGTAAAGCGAAAGAAGCAGGCTAGGGTTTTCTCTGCAGGAGCGGAGATGACGAAGGGCGCTTGAAGACTTGAGAGTTCTTTGGCAAACGGACTTCAAAATGGATCCCCAAAATCCCTTTAAATAACCGCACTACCGACGGTGCGTATTCCAAGGAAAGGAGAGAGATTGCCGCCGGAAAATTCTGGGTCCGTTACGTGTGGTAGTTTTTAGACTTCAATTTAAATTCATTCATGACCATTGAACTTCATACGGCATTGTCGATAACTCTTCGTCTCTACGGTTCTCACACCGAGATCGATCAGATGAGAACGACAACGATTCCGACATCAGAAGTCACGATTGGTTACATGAGTTCATTTAAGCAGAAGTTGGGGGCTACTGTCAGGGTTACGGATAAGGTATACCCTCTATCCTTAGATATGCGTTGTATATTGATATGGCATACCCGCGCGTATACGGATAGTCCTTGTATGCGTTAAAGAAATCTATCACGAGATAGAAGCGGAATCCACAGATGGAAGGAGTCCTACTCAGACAAGATTGGGTATTTGCCATATCGTGAGGGGTCTGATATCTCCGAGTCCTACTTGGAGATCAACTGACCCGCGATATAAAAGGGACCCCTCGGCAGGACGTAAGGCATCGAATCACACCGCCAACACATCCACCACAGCCTACGAAGCCGGAGCCTACAGGAGCCAAGTCGCCGTGTGATCTAGTCGAACCAACTCGACTACGATCTCGTCGGTATTATCGAGTTCCGCTATTCCTTCTGTAATCTGTGGTTTCCATTATATAATCCCATACCAATTGGATTAGGGCTATTACCTGCTAAGGGGTCTAAACCAGTATAATTCTTGTTTTCTGTTTGCTTGATGTCGTACTACGTAGATCCTCGTACCAGCGTACCCCAATACCCTCTATATCCGGTCTACGGGTACCCACTGTCGACAATTTGAAAATAATTCAATAATAAGATAAAAAAATCCGTTGGAATATATCCATGTGTGGTTTTGTTTTGAAGATTTAATTGCAACGAATTTAATTGTGCAATCAGATCATGATTTTGATTAAATCATGATAAATAATTTAAGAGAAAAAATAGTTTAAATTGTTTTTACACGTATGCTGACGTCAGCACCCGATTTTACCTCCTCTCCACGAGGCACCCGACGGTAGTCGCTTCCGGTTCTTTCGTCAGCTCGACATGCGAGATCGATCGAGAAGGAAATAATACCAGCTCCGTCTGATGGCGGAAGCCCGGCCGTCTCCCTCTCGTCGCCGTAGTTAAGTTGATAGTTTGGAGGTGGTTTTCGGTAGGATGGGGGTTTTCGTGTCCAAAGCAAGCCATCGTGTGCGAATCCGCCACTGGATTAACAAGCTAAACTGAGACAAGAGAACCAGTTTTTTATTGATTTCTCTAAGATTTCTCTCCGTTTTCTCTGTTATTCACTTATTCCTTTTCCTTTTTTTTCTATCTTTTCTTACCTTTTCGTTACACTTCTATTTTTCAGTATTTGTCTACCTTTTCACCGTTTGGCAGCCTACTTAGGAATGTTTGTATCATTTTGACCCATCATTAATGCAATAGGTAGAATCTCTCTACCTTCTCAGAGTAAAAATAACCTTCACACGTGGTGTAGCTAGCTCCGGCCGCCGCCGGCGGCCCGAAAAGCGCAAGGAGCGAGAGGAGGTGAGCTGCGCGCCAACTTGCGGACATTGTAACGACCCTATCCCGTCGGGTTTCTGTGAACCGTTGGATTTGAAGTTTACGGTCCAGATAAACCGATTCCCGGACAAACGCAACGATCCGATTAGGCCCACAAATCGTAAACTAACATTGGGCCATCATAATTGGGCCCATTAGAATTTGGATAGTAGCCATCGCTATGCCGTGGTAAAAGTCTAATTGAACTCACTCAATTGCCTCAGTCCAATTCCTATATCCCGCAACCTTAGCCTTCGGCAGCAGAGATTGTGAGTGAGTTTGTTTCGATTTCCCCACGCACACTTCCTGAACTATTAAACGGTGTGTTCTTTGTAAAAATTTTCTATACGAAAATTGCTTTAAAAATTATATTAATCCATTGAGTAAATTTCACAAAACTACAGGTATTTTGACCAAATTATCACAAAACTACAGATTTAAGGAGTTGTATCACAAAACTACACATTTAGCACCAAATTTATCACAAAACTACAAATTTTAGGTTAAGTATCACAAAAATGCATATTTAATATTGAACTTATCACAAAACTACAACTTTTAGAGTTTAAATCCCTAGCACTATTGTTATGGTGGAGCTATAAACATTATTACTTTGTAATTAAATTGGTTCTAAACCTGTAGTTTTATTATAATTTAGTTACTAAACGTGTAGTTTTGTGACACTTCATCTTAAATGTGTAGTTTTGTGATAAATTTGGTGCTAAATGTGTAGTTTTATAATACAACTCCTTAAATCTGTAGTTCTGTGATAGTTTGGTCATAGTATCTATAGTTTTGTGAAATTTACTCTAAATACAATAGTTATCCACTACAGGCCTACAGCATTTATATCATCATCGCTTAATTATTTTGTCTCTCACCTATTCCCCTTTTCTCTTTCATCCAAGCCAATCAGGGAAGCCCGTTCATGCTAATTTCTTTATCAGTCGACGATATCGTCGATAGGAAGGCGCCAAGCCAGCGATAGGAGCATTGGTGCCCGTGCATGACCGTCGACAAATTAATCGACGACGTTTCTCTCTCATACTTCTCTTTCTACCACCTAGGTATAAAAATCCAACGCAAGCTTACTACTTGTAGTTGCCCTAACTCGTCGTCTTCCTCCCATTTTTTCTACACAAACAACGCCTTGCTGGAGCTAAAATATTCCACGAAACATGGAAACTCACCTATGTTTTCCTGGTGTGGTGTTCTTTTCTCTTGAAGATGAAGATTAAGTTTTTTTACGCAAAACGATATGGTATTAACGTATGATTGATTGAATTTTAATTATTACAAACTTGAAACATAGATTAATATGATATTTTAGAGAAACTTTCATATAGAAAGTTTTCGCACGAAAATTGCAACGAGAATCTTAATCTTCATCCAACTCTTGTTGGAGAAAAGAACGGGACATCCATTTGTGTTCTGCCGCTGCATGGAAATTCTTATCCATTAGTAGTATTTAACAGTACACCCAACTTGAGAAAATTGCATATCTACAATCGCATAAACTTGCTTCGCTAGAATACCAGTGGTACTGTAAATTGCATTGGTGGCTCATATTTTGTTCTTCATGATTACACCTTGAAATTTTTGTACCCTCGAATTTAATTGCATTCCTTCTCTTCACTGTTTGTGAACGTATGCGTTTGTACCATGTTTAAAAATAAACCTCAAAGATACCATGGTCCTTGCAGTTATCACACCGCGCCGTAAATGAACCTTCAAGCAAAATAGAGGACTTCTTTTTTTCGTTGCGAGATATAGAAGTTGAATTTGAACTTGCATGTTTGTGTAGTGATATATCACATGTTAATACATCTTCTTATTTTTTTTATAATCATTTGAGTAGAATGCAAATAAGGATGTGACATCCTCTCGAGGATCAAAATAGTCTCCTCATGAACATATAAGTCGCGCTCAATTGTTCATGCACTGATTCATTGTCGATTAGGGAAAAAAACATTTTCTTCACTTTACTCATGGCATAATACACTATTAATTCTGGAATTTGAGAATCGCAGGCACACCATACGTGCTGCACACTTTATTACTGATTGATTATTTCTACTGCTCTGCTTGAAGCTAGCTTATTTTTAGTTTACAGTTAATTTTAAGGATGCATACGAGCAAGAGCTTTCAGTAGCTGCTATGTCGATCCGATGCAGCATCTGACTTAGAACCGGATGGGATACACGGGCGACTTGTTAGGGTAGAAGAGCCCAAAGTTTCTCTCGGTGGGATCCCCGTTCTTCTGGTTCTCATTGAACATGGCGAATATGTACGCCTCCAGTGCCCCCGGCCTCTTGGGCGTGCCACGCCCGACATGGTCGATCAGCCCCTGGTTGTACGCCCTCGCATTGTCCACGCTCGCCCCGAACCCTCCCGCCGACGGCCACCCGCTCTCCGACACCACCACCCTCACGTTCCCGGCGCCGGCCTTCTCCAGCGCGGCGTACACGGCGTCCATCATGGCGTCGAACAGGTTGGTGTAGGTGAGCCCGTTGTTTGGGTCCCTCACCGTGGTGCCCGGCCGGAACGTGGCGTAGTTGAGGCTGATGTCGCGCGGGTTCCCCCTGTAGGCGAAGTACGGGTACACGTTGGCGAGCAGCGGCGCGCCGGTGCTCGCCAGGTAGCGCGCGATGTCCTTCATGTAGGCGTCCCTGAAGACGCCGGCGGAGGGTGGGTAGGAGTTGGAGATGACGTCGAACTTCACCGCGGTGGACGCCTTGATGGCGCCGAGGCCCGACGAGGCCAGGGCGGAGTTGACGTTGCGGATGGCCGGGAGGATGCTACTCGTGGCGCCGCCTTCCACCTCGTTGCCGACGGCGATGTACTTGATGTTGACGGCCGGGTAGTAGGGCCTGACGTTGTCGCGGACCCACGCGGCCGCGTTGGAGGAGCTGGCGGCGAGGTTGGACAACTGGTCGCCGACGTCGAGGATGAGGGCGATGCCGGAGTTGCGCAGGGCGTTGAGCGCCTCCTTGTCGGGGTAGTAGATGCGCATGCCGTTGATGCCCTTGGACTTGTACAGCTGCACCACCTCGCTCCGCGACGGGAGGTTGTTGCCGAGAACGCCATAGCACACGCCGATGGATTGCACAGCTGCATATGCACGACAGGATAATGGACACCGACAGCATAAAGTTAGGTTTTCCAATAAACCATAGCAGAGTACACAATGAACGTGCACCTTCGAATTATCAGAGCATGCCTAGTTGAATTTCAAGTGAAACTTTGTTTGCCCAAAAAGAATTAACCCAAAGCTATAGTGTCTATCTGGTCCGGACATTTTATTTAGTTTCATCTATCTATTTATCTATCTTCCATATATCTATCTATATATTATCTATTATATTATCTAGACCAGACATGATCTATTATATATATATTGTATAGTAACATAATGATAACTTGAAACGAAGTCACCATATTCGCTATGTATACCTATACATTATCATATTAATAAAATAATAAGATCTAAGCTAATTACATCATCTAGGACCAAATTAACGGTGTAGATTAATACTCCTTCCGTTTCAAAATGTTTGACACCGTTGACTTTTTAGTACGTGTTTGACCATTTGTCTTATTCAAAAAATTTAAGTAATTATTTATTCTTTTCATATCATTTGATTCATTGTTAAATAAACTTTCATGTACACATATAATTTTACATATTTCACAATTTTTTTTGAATAAGACGAACGGTCAAACATGTACTTAAAAAGTCAACGGTGTCAAACATTTTGAAACGGAGGGAGTATATAGCAATATTTGTATACAAAGTACTATTGCAATTGTAATGTATTGTGTAGAAAATATTGCATATATGGAAATAGGAACTAAGAGTTCTATATCAAATTCAATTCAACTGACCCGTGTAAAATTACGTGGGGAAATTCCATAGTTATGAAAAGACAACAAGATGCATATAGATAAAATGTGGTTTATTCTATAAAGAACATTGTGGTGCTCTTCAGAATTTTGTTCCCCTCAAATCTCTGACTAGCCACTAAACACTTACAGTACGTGCTCAGGGCATTGCAAGCAAAACAGAGAATTGCTATTTGCTAGAAACATAGAGAGAATCTGATCAGTACTTGTTGGAGCAGAAGCAAATGCTCCAATGATCAGAGCAATTGTAAGCATAGAAGCAACTCCCTGTCTCCTGGCCATTGTTGTCCCAGCTAGCTACTCCCAACTGCTGCTCCTGAACCTGAATGTTATGCATGCTATGTGCCAATGCACACCCCTTTATATACAAGTTTCAGTGTCTAGCCAGTTAGGCACATTAATTTCCTCACATCCACGGCCCAAGTGCGTGCTTACAGCTAGCTGCTACGTTGCATTTGCAGCCTAACTAGCCATCTTCCTCCCATTTTTTCCACAGAAACAGCGGCTTGTTGGAGCTAAAAAATTCCACGAAACGTGGAAACTCGCCTCTGTTTTCTTGGCGTACTTAGACACAGCATGTATTCTTCCGCTTCATGGAATTCTTCCCTCATCAGCAGTACACAGAGTCGCGGAAGATCACTACTAATACCACACTAGTTTGTTTTTCCAACCGTATATCCGATTTTGCATTGAATTCTTACGTATATTCTTGACCAGTACGTGGAATTTCAGGTTTGGGGTGCTAACTGAATGGAATGGTGGCTTGTACCGGAGTGACTTCCTGACGTGTGTTCATTGTTCTTTTGTCAGGTTAGCAGCACAACACTACCTTTCCATCGGTTGAGAACTCACCTGAATACCTGATCCACATCAGTTACTATACACACGCATCTCATAGAATTTCTTCAGCATGGACGTACCACGAATTAAACCTATGGAATTATCTGGAATCTGTATGACCTGGCACTAATTAAGTTTTTGAGATCAGATATGGGAAATACCTGAAAAGAAAAAAATATTATTATATATAGGAAATCATTAAATCATTTGTATCCTAATATAGAAACGGGTTCTAATCCCTCCACAGAATATTATCTCGTATACCTTTTTCTTCCGAATTTAATATAAATAGTCATAAAAAAATCTTAAAAAAACTAACAATTGTAGGTACAGTACATCTATCACTGCACCAAAAAGCAAGTTCAAATTCGACCTACACGATGAGAAAAAAAGAGATAAATTCAGCTATGAATAGTACAGAGTATTTAACTATTTGCCACTCTTAGATTTGTTGTTTAACTATTTGTCACACATGTGCCAATGACATATGAGACCTCATGTGTATATGACATATAGGTCCAGGTGGTAAATTGTTAGTTGCCACAACTGAGAATGACAAATAGTTAATATCCCGAATAATAACACACCACCACACTACTATTTATATGTTGAAGTTGTATTTTTTATATCTTAATGTATAAATTGAGTTTGGGTCTAAAATTTTGTGTACTGATACATGTATGTTATATGAATATATCCCATTTTTTTAGAATTTCTTTATAACTATTTATATATTTTTTAAACAAAGGAGAGAGCATCCTCTCGAGATATAAATACAGTTTCCCATCCGAATACAATACGCTATTACAGCGCAAGCAATCGCGTGAATTTGACAACTGGCGCTGATGATGAACGATTTCACTGGAAATTGATAGGGTAGACTGCTGTCTTGTTAGGGTAGAAGGCTCCAAAGTTTTGCTCCGTGGCTTCCCCGGGCTTCTGGTTCTCGTTGAACATGGCGAACACGTACGTCTCGATCACCCCGGGCCGCTTCGGCGTCCCCTTCTTCGCATGCTTAATCAGGTTCTGCACGTAGGTCCGCGCGATGTCGATCGTGGCCGAGTCCCCGCCGGCCGACGGCCACCCGCTCTCCGACACGACGATGCTGACGCCCGCCGCGCCGGCCTTGTCCAGCGCGGCGTAGACGGAGTCGACCATGGCGTCGAACAGGTTGGTGTAGACCAGGCCGGTGTTGGGGTCGGGCACCGTCGTGCCGGCCTGGAACGTGGCGTAGTTGAGGCTGATGTCCTTCTTGTTGCCGATGTAGGCGAAGTAGGGGTAGATGTTGGCGAGCAGCGGCGCGCCGGTGCTCGCCAGGAGCTTGGCCACGGCCGTCATGTAGGGCGCCGCGAACACGCCGGCCGAGGGCGGGAACGTGTTGGTGACGACGTCTAGCTTCACCGCCGTGGACGCCTTGACGCCGGTGATGCTCGCCGCGGCCAGGGCGGCGTTGATGTTCTGCATGACCGGGAGGATGTTCTGCGTGGGCTCGCCGGAGATCTCGTTGCCGACTGCGATGTACTTGATGTTCACCGCCGGGACGAACGGCTTGACGTTCGCGTCGACCCAGGACGCGGCGGACGCCGGGTTGGCGGCGAGGTCGATGAGGATGTCGTTGGCGACGCCGACGATGAGGCCGATGCCTGTGCCGCGCAGGGCGTTCATGGCCTCGACGTCGGGCAAGTAGATGCGCATGTCTGTGATGCCATTGGATTTGTAGAGCTGCACGACGTCGCTCTTCGACGGGAGATCGTTGCCGATCATGCCGTAGCACACACCAACGGATTGCACGCCTGCACCACATGTATTTCATTCAGACAGAAAGCATCAGTACAAGCTCTGATCTTTAATTTGTTTCTACCTACCCAAATGGACCTAAGATCTCTTTGGACAAGTACAAAGTTTTTGCAGAAATTTCGTCGGAAATAGTTCAGTCCTTATAATTTTTTTTTCAAAATTCTTATGTTTCAAACAATGGGAAACTATTTTAAACTTTTGACGAGACATACCCTCATTGTCTACATGTCATCTAAATAGTTATAAAAAATTTAAAAAATTCAATCAGATAGATTAATATCAACAATACATATATCAATATTCAATAGTACAGGCGAATCACGTACCTACAGGGATTGAGATAAAAACTCCAAGAAGCAGCAATGCAGCTGCAAAAACCAGGGAGAAACCTCGTATATTCACCATCTCTTGTGGTCTCAAACCTAGAGAGATGTAACAAATGTGGCGTATTCTGTACCTAGACCACCTATAGTTCACTTGGTTTCTGGATGTAATTTACAGAGTTCAAAGCAGAGCAGCTTGATTTATACTGGTACTCAGCAAGCAGATGAATGTGTGAATTGTTCCGGATAAACTATAAACACTCAGCATGCAGATGAGACTGAATAGGTTCCCGATAAGCTGCAAACCATAGTGCCAGAAAATCAAAATTCCAAATGTCAAGACATAAATACGGGATGATGAATCTGACCTCTCAAGGAATCCAACCAATGTTCATGATGAATTTGATTAGCAAATCCTCTATTGCTTTATTTGACTGGTGTAATTATTTTATTTTCATTTTTTCCTTTATCTCCTTGCTTATGTGGTGGCTGGCGAACTAATCTTGTTATATGTGGCTCCAGGAAAGTTGCCACTTTGAAATAGAGTTTGTGGGTCATCCTCATTTTGGTCGGAAAATTGGATCGACGTTCGAACAACAGATTGTGGTGATGTTCTTTGGGGGTGAACAACAGATTGTGGTGATGTTCTTTGGGGGTGAAAACCCTAATCTAGTATTCCGACAACGTTGAAATTTCTTCATCGGCTCCCTGTTAAAGATGTTGCTTCTTGAGCTAAGTCTTTGGGACGAATATCTTGTATAGACCTTTCTAGTCACAATCGTCATTCGACATACTTTTTTTCATCTCAAAATAGAGCTATTTTTAGCTATGAACATAGACAAAAACTTGTCTAAATTCATATTAAATGTACGACAAAGAACATATTTTTTTATAAAAAGTGTTGTACGAGAGAGCACCTTCAATCGGACCTCATGTCATGGTTCAAATTGTTTAATGAAAGCCCCCAACTTCAAAGAAGAAGAAGAAGCAGGTTGTCACAAAGGCAGCGTGACACAATCAAATTGTTTTAAGTTTTTTCATTCCCTTTTTGCCTTTGTCAGATAATATTACTTCCATTTATCATTTTATCCAAAAATACTATAGTACAACAATGGTTTAATGATGTGGAGGAAAAGGAAATACCTCCTCCGGTCATTAATATATACCGTTTATACCATCGTACTCCCTCCATCCCAAAATATAAGTGATTTTTAGACGGATGGGACACATAGTCCTATGAATCTGGACATGCTCCCTATTCAGATTCATAGTACTAGGAAGTGTCACATTCATTCAAAATCCCTTATATTTAGGGACGGAGAGAGTACATGTAGTATATAGAATCAAATTATTCATTACACGAATTTATTTGAGACAGCTAAATACGACAACTTGTTTATGTGTTATCTAGATGTAACGTACAAATATTATATAGATCGACCATGTGCAAATTAGTCTGTTCCAAAAGTTACCGTGCATTCCTACCTTTCCAAATCCAACCAAAATATTCGTTAACCAAATGTTACAATTGAAACATGAGCTTGTTTAAAAGTACATATGTGCACATGTGGTGGGTGAGTGTTCAACGACTGTTCATGTTCAACATCTGGCACATACAAATTCTAACAGATTTTGATTCGTAAGCACCAGATTAAGCACATGATATATACTGTACGACGTAGTACATATTCCGTATTGGAGTAATTTTTCAGAAAGTGATTGGGTAAACCGGTGTCTTGTCTTGGATTGAACAGCCCAAACTTCTTCTCCGTGGCGTCGCCTTCCTTCCGGTTCTCGTTGAACAAGGCGAACACGTACACCTCCATCTGCCCGGGCTTCTTCGGCGTGCCTTGGGCGACGTGGTCGATCAGATTCTGGTTGTACGCCCGCGCGTTCTCCACGGTGGCCCCCTTCCCGCCGTCCGACGGCCACCCGCTCTCCGACACCACGACGTCGACGACGCTGCTTCCGCCGCCGCTCACCTTCTCCACCGCGGCGCGGACGGCGTCGACCATGGCGTCGAAGAGGTTCGTGTAGCTCAGCCCGCCGCCGTTGGGGTCGCTCACCGTGGTCGAGCTCGGCTGGAAGAGCGCGTAGCTGAGGTCGATGTCCTGGCTGTCCCTGTACGCGAAGTAGGGGTACACGTTGGCCAGGAGCGGCGCGCCGTTGCCGGTGAGGAACCTCACGATGGGCTCCATGACGGATGGGTTGGTGAACACGCCGGCGGACGGCGGCGATGAGGCGGCGAGCGTGTCCATCTTGATGGCGGTGGTCACCTTGATGCTGTCCGCGAGGCCTGCGGACGCGAGGGCGGCCTGGACGTTCTGCATGGCCGGGAGGATGCTCGCCGCGTCGCCGGTGCCGGTGAGCTCGTTGCCGACGACGATGTACTTGATCTTGACGTCCGGGTAGTAAGCCTTCACGTTGTCCTGGACCCAGGAGTCCGCGTTGGCCGCGAGCTGGCCGACGTCGTTCCGTTCGCCGACGTCGAGGGCGAGGTCGATGCCCGAGCCGCGCAGGGCGTCGAGGGCCTCGCGGTCGGCGGAGTAGATGCGCATGGCGCCGATGCCGTTGGACTTGTAGAGCTGCACGACGTTGCTCCGCGACGGGAGGCCGTCGCCGTTCATGCCGTAGCACACGCCGATGGATCGCATGCTGCACCAAATCTCAGCATACGCACGCACAAGCGTACGGGTTCAGTGACAACGAGCACAGTATCGCACGGTAGGCTTGACATATGTGGCCAGATGACTAGTTTTCGGGTAAGCACTCAATTCATCCAGATCCAAATTAAATCGTAAATTTGACATTATCATACTGATGTCCACTAATTTTAGGACAAGTACTTACGATTTACAAAGGTGTGACGAGAAAAACGAGCTAATGCATACTGCACGCCAAAATCTAGAGTCAACGGCTATGAATAATTTTGTTAACTACAGTTGGAGATTTACAAATAGACTTGAATAAAAGTTTCTTCTTTAGTGTTGCTATTATTAGTTTTTCATCTTCATGTCTTAGGTTTTATGAGCTCTCTTTTAAGCCAGTTATATAATAAGTGGCTATAACTTCTTTTTTAAGGGAAGCTATAACTTTATAAAACACAAGCAGGAATACATTTACATTATCTTTAAAAAAAAACTTAGTACTTACGACCTACATATAACGAAGCTTAGCAATATGTGTACCTGAAGGAAAGGAGGCGAAGGCTGCAATGGCCAAAGCCGCTGCAAGCACAGGAACAACGCCTTGCATAGACATCTTCTGCTGCTACTAGTTTGATCTGTTGCACTTGAACTCGATCTGGATGTAAGAAAATGCAACGCTGCAAGCTTGCTTTTATAGTCACGCTGCTCGGAATTTCCAGGCGAAGACTGGACAAGATCAATACAAATGGGATTGACATACGTTCATTTACTGTTCATTCGTCACCACATAAACAAGCTCCGTGTTTTTTTTTCCTTTCCTCCTGGGTTAGCCAACCCCGTCGCACACGGGTGAGTGCAGAGTAGATACACCTCTGCAGACTTAAGAGCTCAAGTCAAAATAAGCCGCTACTTGTTGGACGGTTCTGGCTAAAATCTTCCAATGCTTTGTTCAAAAAAAAAATCTACCAATGCCAACCTCTGAATCCTTCTTGACCACACACGTACACACGCTAATTTGGAACTCCAAGACTACCCGGCACATCACGGCATAGAGTACTCAGTACAGTGAGGCTCATGAAAGTTTAAAGTTGAGGGAATGACCCTCGATGTTGTACTGAAGTATCGTTGTTTGAGGGAATGGCCCTCGATGTGCTTAAAATTTGTCAAATTACAACAGGCTGAGGAAAACAAATTGCATTGCAGAAAAATATCCTGTAAATATATGATACAACAGCTGTGATCTTACTGAACAAACAAAGCTCATAGGGGCAGTCATCCATACCTCATGTCATAACAGTAGTGAGCTATTTGCCTGATGGTGGGATGAGATTACAAGGCTAACAAAAGATTAGCCTCTCTAATTGGTTGTCGATCCCTTAACTGCACTTCAAGTAATAAATGATATTTTTAGACTCTTCAATGATGCCCCAACTGTACACTGTAATTTCCTTCTGAGTTTCGCACCTGCTTGCTAGTATACAAGATAACCAGAATAAGTCCTTCAGTTTGTCACCTTTCAAAGAATTGTCTCCTCATGGTACCGCAGATTTCATCCGCCACAGCAGCATTTTCACGTAGGAATTTCTCAGCTTCTGCCTTGTTTGGAAGGAACTCACCATTGATCCAATACCCAGAATCATCCTTCATAATAACCCCAAGGGAAGAAGCCAGCTCCAGGATCTCTGATTCGTAGCAGATCCCCTTCCCAAATCTGATGTCAATGCCAGCTTCCTTCAGAGTTGCTGGAGCTAATTTGTTCTTGATTATCTGCACTGATATACCGATGCCAGTAGCCTGAAATGGCAGAATTTTCTTAATTGCATATTTACAAATGCTGTACACTTTACCTAGAATAATGCGCGCTCTTGTCTAGTGCTAGTATTCTAAGGAGGGAACCGGAGAAGGGAAATGAGAAGCATGAAAAGTTATGTACAATACCTGGGCCTCATTGTAGCGTAATTCCCTTCTTGAAGTCCTCATTCTGACTGCAGCATAGAATCCTAATGCATTGCCGCCACAAGCTACCTCCTTGAAGATTCCAGGAGTCTGATTTGAGCTCAACTTTGTTCTAACCTGCAAACATTAGCAATCAGAAGCTCTAAATAAGTTAGGCAGCATCAACACTAAACGATATTGAAGTATGCCATCCTGGTTAGTGCAAAAAAAGCAATCATCCCAAACCTGATTAACAAAAATAATCAGCGTTTCAGAGCGACTTAGTGTGTGCTGAATTTTTCGAAGTGCCCGAGTCATCAAGCGGGACTGCACATCTTCAGAATTCATATATATTTCACCTTCAAGTTCACATCTGGGAATAAGTGCTGCAACCTGTCAGAAGTCCAGTAAAAGCAAGGTAAACAAATATGTAGCAAAGCACAAGATATCAAATACATATTAGAAAAATGGATGTCCTGACAGTATGACAGTGCTAAAGAGCATCAGAAGTGAATAGCAGTCCAATTTTCAAATTTAGTAACTACTTATCCAAGTATTAGGCCTGTCATAGTAGGGAATGCATAAAATTTTAATAAGCCAATAAGGAATCAAATAGAAGAGAAAAAACTAATCCAAACTGACATTGCGGAAGAAACATACACTATCGACAACAACAACATCAATTGATCCACCAACAAGAGTGTTCACTATGCTCAAAGAATTTTCAGCAGAGTCAGGTTGGGCTATCAGGAGCTTTTCAACGTTTACACCAATGGCTTCGGCAACAGAAGGGTTAAAAGCATTTTCTGCATCAATATAAGCACAGCAGCCTGCAAATAGTCCCAGTCACAACTCCAATCATATAATGTAAAATTTAGAAGAAGGGTATACTCCAAAAAGAACAGCAAGGACCATAAACAAATACAGACCTCCTTTCTTTTGCGCTTCCTTGACAACATGAAGGGCGAGTGTTGTCTTCCCAGAGGCCTCTTTTCCAAATAATTCAACCATTCTACCCTGTTAAATATCTACAATAATTTTCAAACAGCACAACTAAAAGCAGTGTTCAAAACAGTATGCCACTACACTCACTGATCATATCAATCAAGGTAAGCCTGCAGTTTTAACTCTAAACATATATGCTATCAAGAAAAAAAAAAGGATGGATGATATGGACACATTTGACAGAAGTAAAGCTAAGCAAGATATGGGCATCAGTTCTACCTATAAATATATTTCCTAATCAGAAATACCATAGACAAAATGCAATTTTTTGTTGTCCAGCAAGAAGGAAAATACTGCCATCAACAAATAGTATTTTCACAACTAAAGAAGAGGGCTTTTGGCACTAATTTAACTAGTTCAACACATCATGGAGATTTCATTGGATTAACACAAAAGGGAAATTAGACATCAAAAGATGAAAAGCCCCACATGACACATTTGACTTTTAGAGTTCCCATTGCAACAAAATAGTGAACTAAGGCCGTGTTTAGTTTCCCCCCTATTCCCAACTTTCCATCACATCATACCACATCAAAAACTTTCCTACACACATAAACTTCCAACTTTTTTTCCAAACTCCCAACTTTCTTCAAACTTCCAACTTTTTTCAGGAACTAAACACACCCTAACTGAACAATAACACCATGCAGAAGACTTATTTGAACTTTGATCCTTATGTGTTATATCAGAAATATATGATTTAGGACCAAGGTAATATCATATGGAATGATATAGTGATAAAGAGTAATGATATCATTGGAATACTAAATATCTAGAATTCTAGATCTGGACAATATGAAAGCACATCATGACCTTTGGTAATCCACCAATGCCAAGAGCAATATCAAGCTTAAGAGAACCAGTGGAGATCACAGGTGTGCGCCTTGTGCGGGAGAACCGCTCCAAACATAAATTAGATTCTCTATCAAAATCACTTGCGAGTTGAGAGACAGCGACACTTAGTGTCGACTCTTTCTCGAGAACTTTTACACCATCGAGTGGGGGATCAGTCTCATAGTCTAATTGCACATCAACTGAAAAGAATCATATCATTAGAAGGAAAAAAGAAATGAAATGTTTGTACGGCAGAAACTGTGAGTATTGATAATAAGTGGACAAACATTGAGCATACCTGAGGTTGACATCGAACAACTTTTTGATAAGAACCAACAAAATCTGTCGTTTATCCAATTCTAGCAAATCACAGGGAAGTAAAGATGGACTGCATTACTTCGTAGTTCAAATATTTGACACATATATCATAAATTCAAGAAAAATAAAGCGTTCCAGATCTTAATGTTTTAAGAGCGGCAAGCTGTGAACCAAACATCACATACATTATAAGTGTTTTTTCATTAACAACTTGAGCTGAACATATCTGTGTTCCGTATTATTGTCAGAATGGAAGAAAAAAAATGAAATCCAACGTTTGTTGGAACACTTGACAGAACACAAAAGGCAGAACCATACTACACTGCGCAGAGCTCATTTTCTCCTCACACACTCACAACCCACTCACTGACTCACATCGGTACTTACGGGCAAAAACCTGGAGCCGCCTAAGTGAAACGCTAATACCCTCGCTCTTTTTAATCCCCTGAGTTTCAAATTCCCACAAATTCAGTCTAAAACGCAAAATCAATCAACACCACACTTGGATACCCCCTCTTCTAAATCTATCTCAAGCTGGAAAGAGGGCCTTAGAGATGGGGAAGTATTCGAGGGCGTACCTGGAGGGGAAAGCGGCGGAGAGGAGAGGACACGGGAGGCGCGCCATTACAGAAGCCCGCGCCGGAGAGGTTGGCACGGGCGGCAGATCTCCGGAGGAGAGCGGAGGAGGCTACGAGAGCTCGCATGGAGGCTGGGCAGGGAAGCGCACACGGCTGGGCGGCGGGGCAGTCGCAAGCGAAGGGGGCGGGGGCGCCGCCGCGCCGGGAGCAGGCGCCGCCGGTGGTGGAGGATTCGAACGCGCCGCCACACGCGAAGCCGTTGCAAGCGGGAGGGGAAGAACCCGCCGTCGCGTACTCGCGTATAGCCGCCGCCCGCCGCGCCCTCCGGACGAGGGGAAAGAAGAGGGCGGCAATAAAAACTGGGCCGAACAGCGCTACACTATTGGGTCGCCTCGCAACGGTGGCCCATTACTCTATGACGGCTCGGCCCAACAGGAAAACACCGTGCTCGCCCAGTCCACGGCCCTGTTTTGCAGAGCTTAACAGTCTCATCTTGGCTTATATTTATGCTTATCATAAGTAAGGGGACTATCCGGTAAAAATGAGCTAAGTATTAAAAACTCGTGAAAATCATGCCTAAAAGTTTTGTAAATTCATAAAAAAAATACTAGGGATAGGTGTAGATATGAAATACATTCTCACCAAATCTCAAGTTCAAACTTAACTTCGTTTAGGAGTAACAAAAAAGACAAATTTCAGGTGAATAGTAACAGGACACTGTTCACCTGAAATTTGTCTTTTTTTTTCTCATAAACGAACTTGGGTTTGGAGTTGAAATTTGGTGAGAATGTATTTTATATCTACACTTATCTCTATTATTTTTTTCATAAATTTACGAAACTTTTAGGTATGATTTTCACGAGTTTTCAACATTTAACTCATTTTCACCGGATATGTCCTCAGTAAGTAAAACTTTAAATTTTCGAACTTAGATTTAGAGCTAACTAGCTAGGTGGCCCGCGCAATTGCGCGGCTAGTACCCACAAAATTATCTATTTTTACACACGATTCTACTTAAAATTTATTAAAATATTCATCTCGCTGTCTTAGAACTTTCAAGGATCGAACATTATCATCCATGTGTTTCTAATTTCATAGTTTTTAAAATTCACATCCGTTGCTATCCTTACTCCTTTGTCACCCCTTTATTTGTTGCACGGCTAACACCCATCCAAAATTATCTATTTTTAAACATGGTTTTATTTAATTTTGTTAAATAGCCATCTAGCCGATCTTAAAAGATTGAATCTTATTATCATCGGGTTAGTTTTCGAAAGTCAATAAGTCGCCACCCCTTACTTTTTTGCCGCTCATTTATTTGATTGTCCGACATGTCACAACTTTTATTCATCCTATTTGGAACTTTCATATTTAGATCTTATAGTTTTTGTAGTTCATTTTCTTGTCAGTTGCATATTTATATTTTTAGAAGTTACATGAAATGTCACCATTGTACTGCTCTACAATCCACCCGATGTCTCGTCTTAATTGTCATTGGAATTTAAAAAGTCAAATATGATGTTATGATTATCGTTGGTGTTTTTTTTTTTACTTTTTAGAAGTTCCGTCAAACGTCACGATTGCGCTCCTTGACGGCTTGCCCGCTGTTGTTTCTTTTAATCGTCGTTGAGATTTTTAAAATAGAACCTAATCGTCATTTGATTTTGTTTTATTGTTTTTTAAATATCCCATCAACCGCTACACCTTATTCATTTATGGCTCACCCGTTATCCCTTCCTCTTTGTTGTCATTTACCATTGTTGTGGTACGGTTGTTCTTTTAATATTTCTTTATTTTTATTTTGAACTTTTGTTATTCATAAATTGTATTCTTTCTTAAACTTTTGTTTTTATTTTTATAATTTCGTAATTTATTTTTTTTAATTTTAATTAATCACATGTTGTGTTATAGATGCTTTTTTCTTTTCATAGTCTTTATTATTTTCTTTCGAATTTAGTTATTTATAAATCATCTGAATTGTTGGGTGTATATTTGGTGATTAAAAAGGATCAAATAGATAAAGAGACAGTCGCTTCATTTTTTATTGGCAACAAATATTTCAAAGTATGTTCTAAGTAGTTTTGAAGTGATTATAGACTGAAAAAATAATACTTACATGAGCACACGTATATATATGGCTTTCTGCCTACCTAGTTCCTGTTGCTTTTTTTTCCCACCTAGAATCAAACCTATAACAGTTTTGAAATTGGATCTCAATTTATCCGTCGAGCAGAGCAGGGCCGCTTTGTACTCCTGTATTAGCACTACAACTCTAATTCCTATATTCCTATATACGTGTTATATCTCAATCGTTAAATTATGAACGTTAAATTGTGAATCCACTATAATCTAACCGTTTAATCTGACTGTCATTAATCCATCTCCTGTGAAAAATATACACTAATTACAATATGTCGATATCATTTGTACTTTCATAAACATCAAAGAAACTTTTGGTGTTTGATGCATTGCCGGCTACAAGTATTGATCTATTTATTCTAATGTCTATCTAAATATCATGTCTTTTTACTATGATTGGCTCCCGCTACCATTGGGTTCAAGCCCAATCTTTGCTGCTTGAAATCTACAGAATATATATGTGCAGCAGTGCAAGCTTTTGTATATTTGGCAGCACAAATCTTGCCCGTGTAGGTTTGTAATTGAATTAGATTATACGTGTACTGTGTACACCGCTAAAGAAACAGAAAGGACAAAGACTCCTAGTATGTAACGTACACAATACAGATCTATGGACTTATCTTTTCTCCTACAAATCTAGACCGTTAAAATTTAGAATTGTAATCAATGGTTTTATTAATCTCGTATTGGGTTCTTATATGGACACCTCTTTTAATATTGCTTATTTTTAATTCCGAATTTCAGTTATTTTTTAGATTGTATTTTTACTTGGACTCTCCTTTTCTTTTTCTTCGATTAATATGGGAATTTCTAGCCTCCACAGCGAACGTAGTGCCTTCTTTTCGAGCTATCTTAATAATATAATAGATAGATTTTGGGGTTTTTCATCAAAGTTTATTTTTCAGACTTTGTTTATATTGCTAAGAACACTTATATAAAAGTTTTATTTACAAATTATTTTCTGTTTGCAAATATGTCATTTCGCTTATTCCGTCAATAAGAGAAACGATAGAGTCCTAAGCTTCTTATAAGCAGTTAGTGATAATCTAGAGAAGCTGGCAAACCCAGTTTCTGATTTCGAGTTTATTTTCTAGATTCTACAACTACAACTTTTCAAAATATATGTGAAAATCTAAATTGTTTGATGGAGTTTCTGGCAGCTGAAGATTATAGCAGAAGCTACAGCTACTGAAATTTCCCTAGACAGGCCCCTCGCATCGCACGTTGCTGCGCTCTTCAACCGTTCAAAAAAGTTTTTTTTAAAAAAAACATTTTTTTCAAAATAAAAAGGATAAAAAAAGAAAACCGGAATGGTGGATAACTGCTGAACGACTACAATTGCACGTATAGATTACACAATATAAAAGTGTGGTTCCATATTTCCACTGACTCGCTGACTAACAACACGATACCATACTTGTCAACAATGCGTGTCAACATTCGTGATGGGCCCTTGGAACCAGAAGCGGGCACGTAGCACCCACGCACCAACACTGAGCAATAACACGCCGCCGACGGCCACCGGAGTGTAGTTGAATGTCTCCTTGTTGGCCACCGGGTACGCCACCGGCAGCGAGAAGAGCACCGTGACGGTGGCCACCCACACCACACCCGCCCAGCCGACGACGACCCCGTATCGCCCGAGGTGGAACGGCCCTGGCACGAACGATCTCCGAGCCGTCGTCACGCGGAAGAACACGGGCAGCGCGTACGCGATGTACATCCCCAGCGTCGCGATCGAACCCATCGCCTGGAACGCCACCTGGCTCCCCAGCGACTGCACCGGCAAAAGGCAGAGAAGGCGTCGTCATCACGCGCACTCACCGTGAATCACCGGAGCAGCAATGCGAATGCAAATGCAACTCACCGTGAGAGCCATGACGAACGCCACGGCGACGCCGAGCCAGACGACGTTGAGGGGCACCTCGTGCTTGTTCACCCGGTACCACACGCGCGACAACGGCATCGCCCCGTCTCTGGAGAAGGCGTACGCCATCCTGCACAAACAACGAGTATGTATATAGCACTTTGAGCAATTCAATCGATCATCAGGGATTCAGGGCGACGTGATGCTAGCTCTGTCACGCACCTCGAATTGCTGGTGACGCACGCGATGCCGCAGAGGAAGACGGCGACGGCGACGGCTCCCAAGCAGACGATCCCTCCAACTCCGCTGCCGTATCTCCGGTGGAAGGCGGTGTACAGAGCCTGCGCGATGGCGTAGCCGCCGGCGTCGTTGCTGGGGCTGAGCAGGTACGGGATGTCCGTCACGACAGATGTCAGAGCCAACAGGTAAATCCAACCAAACACCGTCGCGAAAAGAACCGAGGTGATGATCCCAATTGGGCCGCTCCGGTCTGCATTCTTTGTCTCCTCAACCTGCATGCATCGTCAGTTAATCACTGCCACACTACCGTCTGTCAATGCTCATTCAGATATCTGCAACCTGAGGGACAGCAGGATTAACTTACCATGTGAGCAGATGTATCGTAGCCGATAACAGAGTACTGGCTCATCAGCAAGCCCACGGCTAGGATGTAAGCCTTGTCATGGATCCCCATGCCGTTTTCCGTGTTGAGATGGGTAAACACGAACTCAATATTTGGCCTGTCCTTTGCTACTGCTGGAATCAAGATCGTCAGCACAAAGATACCTGTTGATTGTTTCAGACAGATAAATTCAGGGTTCAGAATTCAGATGCCTAGAACCGATAGAACTCACTTCATTGTGTACCTGCAGCATTCCAGATGGCTCCGACATGGCCAAACAGAGATAGCCACTCGATAGGGAGGCTGTTGATGATGCCATGCAAGATTAGGATGAAGGCATAAATCGCCAGCACGGTGTACTTGGAAGCCATGTAACCGCCGCCATTGCCTCCTCCTGTGCTAAGCAAGATGATCACTTGTAGCAGCTGCGCCAACGAGAAATCTACGCTTGCAATAGCTGCCCACTGCCACAACAATTGAAGACAAGTACAAGGCCAACGACGATGCAATTATAGTCTGCAACTGAAAAAAAACAATCCCCAAGATTATCCAAGTTGACAATGGCAAGTGTACCTGTCCCACAACGTTGAACCTGTCGAACACAAAAAAAAGACAGAATTCAAGTAGGCACCATCTCAAGGCAAGAATTGCATCTGACAATTTTGCATTAGCACGTACCAGCCAGTGACCCAGGAAGCCAAGGAAGCCCATTGTTTGCCGGCCAGCTTGGCGCTCCAGTAGTATAGCCCGCCGGAAGTCGGGTACGCCGAGCAGATCTCGGCCATGGACAGGGCGACGCAGCAGTTGAACACCGCCACCACCAACCATCCCAACGTCATGGACACCGGCCCGCCGTACCGCAGCCCGGTGTTGTACGTCGTCGTCACCCCCATCATCACGGAGATGTTGGCGAAGGAGAAGGCAAAGTTGGACAGTGCCCTGTACGCAGATTAGTTGTGAAAAGAGTCTTGTGACTGGAAGATCCAAAATGCATGCTTAATTGCTAATCAAGAACTAGTCTGAACAAATTAAACACAAGCAAGCATATGCGTCTATACGAGAGGCCACGCTTGAGCTCCTGCTTGTAGCCGAGCTGGTGAAGCCGGAGACTGTCCGGATCGACTTGATCGCCGGCGGCCACCGCCAATTGGACGGAGCGAGACATGGCCTGGATCTCTAGATCCTCTACCTTGGGAAGAAGCTTTCACCTCTGTTGCTCACTAGTCGCGCTATGCTGCAGTTTACATGCTCAGACAGCTCAGTGTAACTAGTCAAGTTTCCGAAAGAGAATAGTCCAAGTATCTGTCATGTATGATTCGCGAGTCAACAAAATGGTTGGAAATTTTGTACCACTGATTCACTGATCTGCCCATGTCACGATTTCCTTTCGTATTACACGCCAATGTTGACTCAGAAAATATAGGATATATATACGTCACGTTAGTACTACTTCTAATCACGGTTCATGTTAAACTATGCTTGAATGGGTGCATGCATGCTTTTTTTTCAGTACAGTTTTTGTCCCCACGCCTGTCCTTTTCTAATAAAATCAGCCGGATCTTAGACCGTTGAAGTTTTCAAATTTGCATCCAATAAAAATGTGAATCCAATGAAGGTTATGTTTGGCAAGAGCTAGAGTCAGCCAAAACGTTTTAATTTCATCTAAAATGTGAGTGAAGCTGGTGGAACATTCTCACAAAATGAATTAGAGATATACTTTAGACCCAGAATGGTAAATTTAAGAGTTGAGACTCTAACAAATACTAAGCCCTAAAGAACGACCTCTTATTGGGCCCACTTATGGGCCTCCAAGCAAGGCTACACATCAGCGGGCCCATACTTTTCTAGGCCGTCAAATCGGGCCGTCACTAGTGTTGGTAATGGGCCCTTGGAACCAGAACCGAGCATGGAGCACCCACGCGCCGACGCTGAGCAGCAACACGCCGCCGACGGCCACCGGAGTGTAGTTGAACGTCTCCTTATTGGCGACCGGGTACGCCACCGGCAGCGAGAAGAGCACCGTGACGGTGGCCACCCACACCACACCCACCCAGCCGACGAGAACCCCGTACTTTCCGAGGTTGAACGGCCCTGGCACGAACGATCTCCGCGCCGTCGTCACGCGGAAAAACACAGGCAGCGCGTACGCGATGTACATCCCCAGCGTCGCGATCGAGCCCAACGCCTGGAACGCCACCTGGCTCCCCAGCGACTGCCAAAAAAACAACAAAATTAGCGCACCGTGTCAGAGCAGCGCACGCAGGAGGAACAGAAGCAGCAACGCGTGCAACTCGGAATATAATAATTCACCGTGAGAGCCATGAAGAAGGCCACGGCGACGGCGAGCCAGACGACGTTGAGAGGCACCTCGTGCTTGTTCACCCTGTACCACACGCGCGACAACGGCATCGCGCCATCCCTGGAGAAAGCATACGCCATCCTACAGAAACCCGACATGTAAATCACCAACTCGACACGATGATTCGATGAACAGCTAGCTGTGGAATCATCAGATCGATCGACGCGATGTGAGCCCGTCACCTTGAGTTGCTGGTGACGCACGCGATGCCGCAGAGGAAGATGGCGACGGCGACAGCTCCCAGGCAGGCGATCCCGCCAGCGCCGCTGCCGAACCTCCGGTGGAAGGCGGTGTACAGAGCTTGCGCGATGGCGTAGCCGCCGGCGTCGTTGCCGGGGCTGAGCAGGTACGGGATGTCCGTCACGGCAGTCGTCAGAGCCAACAGGTAGATCCACCCGAACACCGTCGCGCAAACAACCGACGTGATGATCCCAATTGGCCCGCTCCGATCTGCATTCTTTGTCTCCTCAACCTGCATACACGCATCATCAGCTCGTCACTGTGACACTGTGTTCTATCCATATTCAGTTATGCTCATTCAGATATCTGCAGCCTGACAGGAGTAGAGGACTCGTTTACCATGTGAGCGGATGTATCGTAGCCGAGCACGGAGTACTGGCTCATCAGCAATCCCACGGCTAGGATGTAAGCCTTGCTATGGATCCCCATGCCGTTGTCCGTGTTGAGATGGGTAAACACGAACTCAACACTTGGCCTGTCCTTTGCTACTGCCGGGATCAGGATCACCAGAACAAAGACACCTATCATTGTTGATTGTTCAGACAGATAAATTTCGTTCAGGGTTCAATATTCAGACTTCAGATGCCAAGAACCACAATTCATAAGGACTGGTGATTATTGCCTCCATGTGTACCATGCACCTGCAGCATTCCAGATGGCCCCGATTTGGCCAAACAGAGATAGCCACTGGATAGGGAGGCTGTTGATGACGCCATGAAGGATTAGGATGACGGCGCAAATCACCAACACGACATACTTTGAAGCCATGTAGCCGCCGCCATTGGCTCCTCCCGTGCTAAGCAAGATGATCACCTGTAGCAGCTGCGCCAGCGAGAAGTCTACGCTCGCAATAGCTGCCCACTGCCACAACAGTTGAAGACAAGGACAGGGCAACAATGCAAATTTTTTTCTCGAAAAATGAAGTTATAAGCTGGAGCTAAAAACAGTATCTAGATCCACCAGACAATGGTAGTATACCTGTCCAACGATATTGAACCTGTCGAACACACAACACAATAACAAATTCAGGCTCGCAAATTAAGTTGAACAACAGCATACATGCATAATCCACAGCAACAAATATTCAAAATAGTAATGATCAAACATAATCTTCAAGAAGGCACCATCTCAAGACAACAATTTTTTTTCAAGGATATCAAGAAAACAATTGCACCTAACCATTTTGGATTAGTTCCAGTGCATAAAGACAGGGGAAATTGATGCAGACTAGCTCATACATGTCTCACGTACCAGCCAGTGACCCAAGAAGCCAGGGACGCCCATTCCTTGCCGGCCAGCTTGGCGCTCCAGTAGTAGAGGCCACCGGAGGTCGGGTACGCCGAGCAAATCTCGGCCATGGACAGGGCGACGCAGCCGTTGAACAGCGCCACCACCAGCCACCCCAGCGTCATCGACACCGGCCCGCCGTAGCGCAGCCCCGTGTTGTAGGTCGCCGTGACGCCCGTCAGCACCGAGATGTTGGCGAACGAGAAGGCGAAATTCGACAGGGTCCTGTGTGTATATATATCCAGATGAATCGATCAAGATGGTCTTAGTTTTGAAAAGAATGAACTAATTAGCACGGTGAATGCATGCTAAGTCTGAATAAACTGAAACTTGTTGTGTGCATACGAGAGGCCACGCTTGAGCTCCTGCTTGTAGCCGAGCTGGAGAAGCCGGAGGCTGTCCGGGTCGTCGGCGGCCTGATCGCCGGCGGCCATCGCTAATTGGACGGAGCGAGACATGGCCGTGGATCAGTTCTCTATCTCCTGTAGGCTGTTTCCTGGGAGGCTAGCTATTTTTGACGCTATCACCTCCATAGCTCACTAATCCTGCAGAGTATAGTTTACATGCTCGCTGTACTAGTCAACTTCCCAAAAAAGAAATGTCCAAGTACGTACCTCTCTCTTATATATAATTCATAATCAACGAAATGGTTGGAAATTTTGTATACCACTGATGATTGATTGATACGCTTATGTCACGATTTTCCTGTAGTATTGCCAACTACCGTTGACTAACTGAAGGATAAGATGCAATATATCGCTGTATACCTTATGCGTTCCAAAAAAAAAACTGTATACCTTAGGACTTTTGGTTCATGTTTAAACTATGCTTGAATTATTGCACGCATGCTGCTTTTTTAGTATAGTTCTGTACCTCATGCCTGTCTTTTTCTAACATAATCAGCCGAATCGTAGACCGTTGAATTTCCATCCAAGGACATGGGAATACGAATCAAAATAAAGAACGGCCTCTTACTGGGCCGCCCAACAAGGCTACATGTACGTGGGCTTCCTTGTCAGCCGTAGAACTCCATGGGCCGTAGCACACATGCATCGGCCCATACAGTTATGGGCCGTCACAGCGGGCCGTCATTAGTGTTAGTAATGGGCCCTTGGAACCAGAAGCGGGCACGGAGAGCCCACGCGCCGACGGTGAGCAGCAGCACGCCGCCGACGGCCACCGGCGTGTAGTTGAACGTCTCCTCCGCCACCGGGTACGCCACCGGCAGCGAGAAGAGCACGGTGACGGCGGCCACCCAGAGCACGGCGGCCCAGCCGACGACGATCCCGTACTTGCCAAGGTGAAACGGCCCCGGAACGAAGGATCCCCTCGCCGTCGTCACCCGGAAGAAGATCGGCAGCGCGTAGGAGATGCAGAGCCCTATCGTCGCGATGGACACCATTGCTTGGAATGCCACCTGGCTTCCCAGCGACTGTCATAAAAATAAAGCATAATTCTGGTTATTCTGAACTGAGAATCAAGCATGAAAATTAATCAGCAGTGGTACGAATTAACTCACTGTCAGAGCCATGATGAACGCCACCACCACAGAGAGCCATACGGCGTTTATAGGCACCTCTTGCTTGTTCACTCGGTGCCAGACTTTCGAGAACGGCATTGCTCCGTCCCTGGAGAACGCATACGCCATCCTGCATGCAGTGGCTAATTAACCTAGGAAATTATCAACATGTACGTAGCTAATTAAGCTAAGCTAAATTCCTGAACACGTCAGCTGATCGATCGATCTGACCTCGAGTTGCTAGTGATGCAGGCGAGGCCGCAGAGGAAGACGGCGACAGCGACGACTCCCAAGCAGAGGATCCCTCCCAGGCCGCTGCCGTATCTCCGGTGGAAAGTGGTGTAGAAAGCTTGAGCAACCGCGTTGCCGCCGGCGTCGTTGTCGGGGCTCAACAGGTAGGGAATGTCCGTCACCGCCGACGTGAGTGACACTATGTAGATCCACCCGAACACGGTCGAGAGAGCAACCGAGGTTACGATCCCGATCGGGCCACTCCAATCTGCATTCTTCGTTTCCTCTGTCTGATGCATAGAATGATATACTGTCAGAGTGTCAGTAGTATTTGCAGTTTAGATATGGACTACTGTGTCTAGGGGCGAAATCGCAACGTACCATATGAGCAGATGTGTCGTAGCCGGCCATCGCGTACTGGCTCATCAACAACCCGATGAGTAAAATGTAAGCCTTGTCGCGTATCCCCATGCCGTTTTCTGTGTTGAAGTGAGTGAAAATGAACTCAACGCTCGCCCTTTCCGTGGCGACAGCCGGGATCAAGGCCACCAGCACAAAGACACCTAGCAAACGAAGAACAATAGAGTGATGATGGAATCGATGGTGACTTAATAAGGAGATCGATTGCAAGAGGAGGAAAAAAAAATAATTTCATTACCTGCCGCATTCCAAAAAGCTCCAAGCTGGCCGAACCAAGAGAGGCACTGGATCGGGAGGCTGTTGATAGCGCCGTGGATGACGAGCATGGCGCCGTAGATGGCGAGCACGACGTAGTTGGAGGCCATGTAGCCACCGCCGTTGGCTCCACCGGTGCTGAGCAAGACGATCACCTGGACCAACTGCGCCAACGCGAAGTCCACGCTCGTGGTAGCGGCCCACTATGTCATCAAGAGATCCATATAGCGTCAGCCCACTGTTAGGCTTTTCTGTACGGAATAAGTTCACATTGAGTCCCTCTATTTGTCACTCAGTCCGATTTTCGTTCTTGACCGCAAAACCGGGTATGACCCATCCCCCAACTTACAAAAACCGTGTAGACGAGGTCCCTCAGCGGTTTTGAAGGTGATTTTGGCTGATGTGGCGACTACGTGGCTTGTTTGACTAGATATTCGTCCCACGTGGCATTGACGTGGCGCTTACGTGGCAATTATATCTCGAAAAAATAATAAAAAACATGGGACCCGCATGTCAGCTAAAAATAATAATTTTAAAATGGTGGCCCACATGTCAGCTACTCCTCCCTTCTTCCCCCTCCCTTCTCTCTCATATTCATCGTCCTCTCTTCTTCATGTGCGCAGGGGGAAGGAGGCGAGGCGGGGCGACGCATCCCCCACACCGACACCACCCCCAGCGCGCCGCCACCGCCGGCATCTTCGTCTTCCTCCTCGCCGCCGCTGCTGCCGCCAGCATCTTCGTCTTCCTCCTCGCCGCCGCCGCGGCAATCGCGGCAAGCAGGCCGGCGACGACGACGTGGAGATGGCCGAGGGGAGGAACAACAAGGTCGCCGACGGCGGCAGCGCCGATGACTCGACGACCAGCGGCAAGGCGGACACCAAGGTGTAGCTCTGGCGTCTCAGTCAATCCATGAGCGATCGAGTAGCTCAGTAGCATGCAATCGGCTAAGATTTCCTGCATGTGTTCTAGTACTACAAGTAATAATATTAGCTAGCCTAAAAGGCTAAAACACATAACGTGCATAAAAGGAAAGTACTATCCTAACTGAATAAAACAGCTTTTGCAGGCACAAGTTTAACATAATATGTCTGCTTTGATCTTTATTTGGAAGTTGTAATTAACCATGTTTGTAATAACGAGATAATTAAACGAGAGTATCCATGTGTCAAGAGGTCAAGCGTGACCTCTCCCACACCGTCCATGGCTTCCCCGCCGATGAGCACCACGTCCGGGAGGTGATTGCGCTCACGCTCCACTCCCGCGCCTGCGTCGCGTCGCTGTCACGCTGCCTGGGCGTCACGCTCAAGATGCTGGTGCTCGTCCACCGCCTCCTCGCCGACGGCGACCCGGCGTTCGAGCAGGAGGTGTTCTACGCCATGCGCCGGGGCACCCGCTCCGTCCACCCCCGCCCCCCCAGCGCCGCCACGCCGTCGCCCGCTCCAGCCAGCCTCCTCGTCGCTCGGCCGCCGTGCGCCGTTCCAGCCGGCCTCCTCGTCGCTCCGCCGCCCATGAGCGGGAGAGAGACAAGAGGGAGAGAGAGGGGACAGAGAGAAGAGGTTGTGAGGATGACGTGTGGGTCCACATGGGCCCACCTTTTTTATTAATTTGTGTGTGCAACTGACATGTGGGCCCCATAAGTTTTATTATTTTTTTGGGATCTAATTGCCCCATCAGCGCCACGTCAATAACACGTTGGACAAAAATCTAGTCAAAAGAAGCCACGTCGGTGCCACCTCAGCCAAAACCAGAGTCAAATACTGCCGAGGGAATTTAAACGGTTTCGTAAGTTAGGGGATCCGTCGTACCCGGTTTTGTGATTAAGGGACGAAAATCGGACTGGGCAACAAATAAAGGGACCCAAAGTGAACTTATTCCTTTCTGTACTCATGGCCCAATAAAAAGGCCCATCAATTAGCGAGAAGCCCGGGCCCAGAAATCCGAATGTACCTACCTGTCCCGTGATGTTAAACCTGCAAAGCAGAACACAAGGAATGAAAAACAGAACAAGAGATAAAGGTCTTTCTCTCTTTTTTTCTTTTTGAGAAAATAAAGGTCTCTTTTGGAATGTGCGAGTTTTACAAGATTTTTATATACGATCGATCAATTTCCGCGAAAATCCTATAAAAATATCCTATTTTAAACGAAGCCTAAAAGATGCTGGAGTATGAAATTTTTGCAAGGCTTTCCTCATTTCTTGGAACGAGAAGTTCATGAGAGACGGACAATTCACAATACATACACGTACTCACCAGCCAGTGATCCAAGAAGCAAAGGGAGCCCAGTCGTTGCCGGCGAGCTTGGCACTCCAGTAGTAGAGGCCACCGGAGGTCGGGTAGGCGGAGCAGATCTCGGCCATGGACAGGGCCATGCAGCCGTTGAAGGCGGACACGACGAGCCACCCGAGCGTCATGGACACCGGCCCGCCGTAGCGGAGCCCCGTGCTGTACGTCGTCGTCACACCGGCCATCACGGAGATGATGGAGAAGGAGAAGGCGAAGTTGGAGAGAACACTAGCTCACGAAGGCCAAAAACAATTAACCAAAGATGCCAATGAACAGTAGTAGTTTGCGAGGCTTCGCATGGTAAATTCATAAGATAAGCTGCTCCTTACGAGAGGCCGCGCTTCAGCTCTTGCTTGTAGCCGAGCTGCCGCAGCCGAATTTTATCTCGATCGCCATCGCCGGCCGGATCGGCGGGCACGGCCACCTCGACGGAGCGAGAGAGCGCCATCTGTATCGTGCTTCCTTTGCAGTAGATTTGCAAAAACTTTACAGGCTCAGTGCATGGTACTAGTGTCTGGTTTAGGCAGTAGCTTCTCTACGATGGAAGAATCAAGATGTGGATGGGGATATTATTTGATTGGGTAGGATAGTAGCAAAATTTAACCGTCGCCTTTCATTTCCGGACAATAATGCAAATTGCTTTGATATTTTTGGATTGTTTCAGCTTGTGCATTAATTGGTCTTCAGCTCTTCGATGTATACCGGATCCCTCGCTGTCTCTGATCGATCTGTTTGTTCACACCTGTGTGGCGGGCGCGGAGGAAAAACTCCGAGGAAAAGCCCATGAAATTGATGAGTCCTCGGCCTATTAGGCCCAATAAACACCACAAGAATATCTTGGGGAAAAAGTACACCCAAGGTCCCTCAACTTGTCATCGGGTTACAAAAACATCCCCAAACCACAAAACCAGATATACAACGTCTCTCAACTTACAAAACCGTTCGTTTTGGGTTCTTCAGTGGTTTTTAACCCTGGTTTTATCCAACGTGACGGCTGAGTCAGCGTAGGACCCACATATCAGGGTGCCACGTCATCATCTCTTTCCTCTCCTTTCCCTTCCTCCCCTCCCCCCCGGGTATTTAACTATTTGCCACTTTTAGATTTGTCAATTAACTATTTGTCACGTCTATCTCAATGACATATGGGTCCACATATGTCTATAACATATGGATCCAGTTAGTTTCCACATCTAAAAGTGGTATATAATTCAGTATCTCCCCCCCCCCCCCCTCCCCCTCACTTTTCTGCTCTCGCAGGGTCGGGAGGAGGTCGCCGGTGACGTGGGAGAAGGGGAGGGCGGCGGCAGCGGCGGACTCTGGTGTCTACGCCACCGAGCGCCACCGTCGCTCTTCTCCTCTGCCGGCCACCGGCTCTGTAGCATGATGAAGGGGAAGGGCATCCTCAAGCCGAGGCGCCTAGGATGCGGCAGCAAGGACGGCGACAAGGGTTGTGCAGCGGCCTCCTAGGATTCGGTGGAGATAGCGTGGCGGCGGTGGACCAACGGAGGCCGCGCCACAGGCAGAGCGGGGTGGAGGCGGTCCAGGTGGCCAGCTGCGTGTTCCCGCCTTCCCTCCGCAGCGCTGGCTTCACGCACTGCAGGAGGAGCGCCACGTCCAAGTTGCCCTCGCCTGCAATTCCCCCGGCCCCCGCAGAGACTAGGAGGCAGCAAATCATGAGACGCATCATCGATCTCATCTGCTTGCTTGAATTGCGTTGGGGCAGAGCATGTGAACACACTGGACTGGAGCAGTGGAGTGAAAGAGTGTGCAAGTGAATCGAGTGAGAACCACTCTTAATACTCAAGGGAGGGAAGTGATGACTGATTGACTGCTCCCTCTACTGCTGCTCGTTCGTTCCGCCGACGATGGATCTGCAGCGCCTCGATCCAGGGCAGCCGCCCCGGCTGCTTCGACCTTACGAGCAACTTTTTGGAGCGCCGCGTCGTTGGCCATCACCCACATCTGTCTCTCTCTGGAATGGCGCTCTCCACGTCGTCGGTGAGGGCGGCGACGCGCCGACGACACACCGCTCGGTGCCCGCGGGCCTCCTCCGCTCCCAACCTCATCTACTCCCGCGTAGTGGCCGAGATCCAAGAGCGGCACCGGCGCGCCTCCGCCTCCAGATGGTCGACGTCGACCGCCGCCCGCCGTCTCTGTTGCCTCTGCATACACGGCTGCCCCCACCACCCCGCACATCCTTGCTCACCTCACCACCGTCGGGGTCCACGACAGTGAGCTCAGGGACCGCTTCCACGTCGGCGTCGGCGTCCAACGGCCGCGGCGATGACAGCGGCAGGCGACCCTCGGCCGGCCGTGTGCCACCGGTCTCCCCCTGCCGCCGCCCGTCTTCGCCCAGCGACCTCCTCCGACCCGTCGGCAGCCAGCACAGAGGAGAAATGTGTGTGAGAGAGAGAGAGAGAGGAGGAAGTTAGATAGAGGAGGGGATGACATGGCATACTGATATGTGGGGCTCACGCTGACTTAGCCGCCACGTCGGATAAAACCGGGGTTAAAATCACCGAATGACTTAAATTAAACGATTTTATAAGTTGAGGGACACTGGATATCTGGTTTTACCGTTGGGGGATGATTTTGTAACTCGATGACAAGTTGAGGGACCTTGGGTGTACCTTTTCCTATCGTGGGTCCCCGTCGCAAACATCGTAAGACAGGTGCATCCGCATCGATCTGGACCACGCAGTTTACATCCGACGGCTCAAGCGAATCCCATGATAGGATTAGGGAAAAAGTACACCGAAGGTCCCTCAACTTGTCATCGAGTTATAAAATCGTCCCCCAACCACAAAACCAGATATCGGACGTCCCTCAACTAATAACCGTTCACTATAGATCCTCCGGTGGTTTTGACCCCGATTTTATCTGACGTGGCTGTTGAGTCAGCGTGGAACCCACGTGAGTCCCACATGTCATAATGCCAGGTCATCTCTCTCCCCCTCTTCTCTCCCTTCCTCATCTCTCACTTCTCTCCAATTTGATGGCGACGCGGGCGACGCGGCTGCAGTGATGGCGGCGGCGGGCGACGGGAGGAGCTGCGGGCGGAGCGGGCGGCGGCGGGCGACGGGAGGAGCTGCGGGCGGGCGGCGGGGGGAGGAGCAGCGCGCGGCGGGCGGAGTGGGCGGGCGGCGGGCGGAGCGGCTGCGGCAGATGCACCCGCAGCACGGGCCTGCCGGAGGACCAGGCGACGGTGCGGGGAGCGGCCGGCCGGCGGAGCAGACGGGGCGCGGGCGTGCAGCAGATGACCGGGCGTGCGGCAGACGGCGGAGGTTGGCGTCGGCGTGGGCGAAGCGAATGACCGGGTGGGACTCGCGGGCGGCGATGTCGACGCCGCGGAGGTGGACGCGACGCGGTCGGGGTAGGCCCAGTGGTCGAGACGGTAGAAGAAGAGCGGCATGGGGTGGCGGGAGCAATGGCGCTGGTGCCTGGTGGTCGCGGTGGAAGGCGTCCGTGGCGATGAGGTCGTGCAGACGCCGCTGCAGCAGGCCACCTCGGCGGCCTGCTTGCAATCAAAATAACAAAGTATTACCGTTTGTTATGGACAAAAGCATGAAATTTTATTCAGAATAGCTCATGATTGTAATGTTACCACATTCTGTTCACTCATAGCACAAATTGACTCTGCAGTGCACACTTACTAACAAAATACAGTAGGCAATTTCATTGATTTTATCCATGCAGTTTGCATTGTTTTTTTATCAACAACATCTGTTTGGTTCTGCTTTTATTTTGAACATTAACAGGCTAACTCTAACTCATATACAATGTCAGGCCATGGTGGCAGCGATGGTCTACATGGTGATGTGCCTTCACTAGATTATGTTGTAGAAGATACAGTAAGTCTGAATATAAGCAAGCAGTCTTGCAATTATTCCTTCATTCAGTTACTTATGAAATATATTATTATCTTCAAACAAGATGTACTTCTTGGTAAAATTGTGCTTGAGAATCCAGGGGTCCTCTGTTTTCTTCTTGGTCACTCCACTGGGGGAGCTGTTGTTTTGAAGGTATGCCTTGTAACAATAAGTAGTTTTTCTCTGCTCTATTTAGGCGAGGTTTAGAAACTGACCCTACTCCTTTGGGCCTGTGAATAATGGATAATTGGATATCCTGACGGGCAGAGCAATGGTGCAAAGCATTAACAAAATAGCCTGGTTGAAAACTTGAAATGGTTTGGCTGCAGATATGTTCATTTTACATGCTTCATATTCTTCTTTCCCTTGTGCTTGTCAGTAGCTGGTATTTTCCAGGCATCATTGTTCCCTCATATCAGAGCAAAACTGGAAGGCATCATCCTAACTTCACCAGCGCTGCAGCGGGCGACCTCGGCGGCTGGCCGTTTGCCGCCACAGCCTGGTTGCCTCCGTTCGCCGCCGCAGCCTGGTCGACTCCGTTCGCCGCCGGCTCCTGGTCGCCATGCTCCTCAACGGCGCGAGGATCATCGACGGCTGCTACATGGCGAGACGCGGCCCCGCCGCCATCGGCATCCCCCCGTCGAGCGGCGCGCGATGGAGGAAGCCGTCGCCGGCGACTCTGCTCAGCGGAAAGAGGAGAAGAAGAAGGCCGCCACAGCGGCGGCAACGAGGATGCGGGCGGAGGGCGCGACGCCGGCCGCCGGACCTCCTCCTCTCACCTCCCTCCCGGCTGCGCGCGGTGGAGAAAGCCGCCGCTGGCGACTCCGCCTAGCGGAAAGAAGCGAAGAAGAAGGACGCCGGCCGCCGGACCTCTGCCTCCCCGCCCCCGCGGGGGCCTCCTCCCCAGTCCCCACCCGTCGGCCACCCTGCCGCCTGGCCAGATGAGCACAGCGAGAGAAAGAAGAGGCGAAATAAGAGAGAAGTGATGAGGTGGCATCTGACACGTGGGTCTGCTGACTCAACCGTCACGTCACATAAAACCAACCACCGAAGTAAACGGTTTTGTTAAGTTGAGGGATGTGATATATCTTGTCAGAGGACGTTTCTGTAACTCGACGACAAGTTGAGGGACCTTCAGTGTACTTTATCCTAGGATTAGCGACTCATTTCACGGTGGCCCAAAGTCAAGCTGTTAAACCAATCCGGCCCATGTTGACCGCTCATATTCCGTAACGGGCCAAATGCAAGCCCACTTTTTACCTGGGCTTGGTAGGAAAGCCACCTACACAGCCCCTTTCGTTGGGCTTATATCGGTCCAAAAGGAACACAAATTTTGAGTTTAACGGATCGGTACGGATCCAATTCGTGGTCAAACCCAAATACGCTTCAAATTGAAATTTATCAAATCAGGGTACGCGCGTTCAAATTTACAAAAATTCAGGGTACGTTTTACGCGTCAACGTTGGTGACAGGCCCTTGGAACCAGAAGCGGGCATGGAACACCCACGCGACGAGGCTGAGCAGCAGCACGCCACCGACGGCCACCGGCGTGTAGTTGAACGTCTCCTTGGCCACCGGGTACGCCACCGGCAGCGAGAAGAGCACCGTGACGGTGGCCACCCAGACCACGGCCATCCAGCCGACCATGAGCCCATATCGCCCGAGGTGAAACTGCCCCGGAACAAACGACTTCCGAGCCGTCGTCACGCGGAAAAACACCGGCAGCGCGTACGCGATGTACAGCCCCAGCGTGGTGACCGACACCATCGCCTGGAACGCCACCTGGCTCCCCAGCGACTGCCATGAGAAAACAACCAAATCAGAGCAGCTCGAGAAATTTACAGCAGCAGCAGCAGCAATGGACTTAGAATTCACCGTGAGAGCCATGACGAAGGCCACGGCGACGGAGAGCCAGACGACGTTGAGGGGCACCTCGCGGCTGTCCACGCGGTGCCACACGCGCGACAGCGGCATCGCGCCGTCCCTCGAGAACGCGTACCCCATCCTCGAGTTGCTGGTGATGCACGCGGATCCGCAGAGGAAGATGGCGACGGCGATGACACCCAGGCAGGCGAGCGCTCCGGCGCCGGTGCCGTACCTCCGGTGGAAGCTGGTGTACAGGGCCTGCGCGATGGCGTACCCGCCGGCGTCGTTGCTGGGGTTCAGGAGGTAAGGTATGTCGGTCATGATCGATGTCAGGGCAATCAGGTAGATCCACCCGAACATGGTTGATAGGCCTACGGACGTGATGATCCCCATCGGCCCACTCCAATCCGCGTTCTTCGTCTCCTCTATCTGAATGTGCAGACAAAAAGATTCAGTGATTCGTCGATCAGTTGAATGCATACGAAGAGAAAGTAGGATTGTTCAGGACATTCAACAATCAGATTTATTACCATGTGTGCAGATGTATCGTAGCCGATTACAGAGTACTGGCTCATCAGCAACCCCACAGCTAGAATGTAGGCCTTCTGGTGGATGCCCATGCCGTTTTCTGTGTTGAAATGGGTAAAGATGAACTCTGGGCTCGCCCTTTCCTTGGCAACCGATGGGATCAAGATCGTCAGCGCAAACACACCTGGATCGTGTGTTGATACAGACAAACAGAACAAAGATCAAATCACGATCAGATGATCTGATGATGTAAATGTTCAGACTGAATATCTGAAGAAACGGTCGGGACGTTGAGTCGACTGTACCTGCAACATTCCAGAAAGCTCCAAGTTGACCAAACCAGGAGAGCCAGTGTATGGGAAGGCTGTTGATGAGACCGTGCAGGATGAGGATGACAGAGTAGATGGCCAACACGACGTACTTGGACGCCATGTAGCCGCCGCCGTTGGCGCCTCCTGTGGCAAGCAAGATGATCACCTGGAGAAGCTGCGCCAGCGAGAAATCCACGCTCGTCGTGCAAGCCCACTGGGATGAGTGGAGGAGCAGTTAACGAGCGATTGGAGCGTCAGAGATTTCTGCGCTTTCTGGAAACAATTCGAGAGTGCAAAATGTACTTTTTTTATTTATTTTTAAGAAATCGTGAAGTTTGAACAACAATTAGTCCAAAGGTATATTGAGAAAAAAAAAGGAATAAAATTATATTCATATTTGAAAGCACTTTCAAAAATCATGGCTCATTAATTACTTCCTCCATTTCATATTATTAATCGTTTTGTCTATTTTCTAAGTTAAACTTTTAAATTTATAAGAATTTTAGCAACGTCTACAAATCAAATTAATCTCACTAAATGTACCATTTAATATATTTTATAATAGATTTGTTTTGTACTGAAAATACTACTATATTTTTTTATAAACTTCTACATAACTCATGGAGTTTGAATGCACGTACCTGTCCGACAATATTGAACCTGTAAAACAGAAGACAAAAGGATTAAGCGGATTCCATATTTAAAACATGTTAACGATTAAATTAAAGCATGAGAGATAAATTAAGCTAGGACGCGAAGAACACACCAGCCAGTGACCCAAGAAGCCAAGGGAGCCCATTCCTTGCCGGCCAGCTTGGCGCTCCAGTAGTAGAGGCCACCGGAGGTCGGGTAGGCGGAGCAGATCTCGGCCATGGACAGGGCGACGCAGCCGTTGAAGGCGGACACCACCAGCCAACCCAGCGTCATGGACACTGGCCCGCCGTAGCGCAGCCCCGTGCCGTACGTCGTCGTGACGCCCGTCAGCACGGAGATGATGGAGAAGGAGAAGGCGAAGTTGGAAACAAGGCTAACAAAGGATTGCAATATATGCCAAATTAACACTCACAAGCTTAATTTGGTGAAAAATGATCGCAATGAAGTGTGGTAAAAGAAGGGAAGAAGAAGCACATACGAGAGGCCACGCTTGAGCTCTTGCCTGTAGCCCAGCTGGTGCAGCCGGGCTTGGTCTGCATCGGCGCCGGCGGCGTCCATGGCCACCACGCCGGAGCGAGACATCGCCGTCGGTGTCTGCTCACTACTTTTCTCTATGATATCTCCGCGGTTGCGCTGCTCAGTAATTGAATATATATAAGCTTCCTAGATGAAGAAAGTCTTTGGTGTACAGCGAGTCAAGGGAGGGACTGGAAATCATGCTCGGATGCAGCACTCCGGCGTCTTCGCTTTCGCATGCTTCGCCATTTTTTATTACTTGCATGATTGATTGCTATCGACGTTTATCGTAGCCATCCCTTTCTTTGGTCTTGCATTTCTCCGTGCATTAAAACAGAGTAAATTGCCCTTTGCCCTTTGAACCGGGAGACGGCAGTAATATAGCTGGTTTCATTTTACTAGGTTTGCATCATATTACATTATTATTGAACACGAGGATTGTAAAATATGAGTAAAACATACTGAGCTTCTTAAATTTAGACCATATTTCACAACATGTTTTTCTTTGATTTTATGAAATTTTATAGGCTTGATGATGCATCCCGATGTTAAGTGAAATTTATTTTAAAATAACTTGGTGTAAAGTGAAAGTATAAGCAACCCCCTGCAATATTACTTTTGACATGTCGATGGTGCCACTTGCTCAAGGGCCTACATGTCAGTGATTCCTACCGCAGGAGCGGTGCCACATAGCAATTGAGTCCATGTAAAAACAAGTGAAACACGATGCAATTTACATAGTGCAAAGTACAATTTACTCTTAAGAATAATGAAGATGATGCCATCCACATGAAGAAATTTCTTGTTGGCCTTGCATTTCTCTGCACTGCATTAAACAAACAAACGATCGGGTCATATAGATCTCGGATAGTAATAGTACCCTTGATGGTCATAGAGAGTAGGTGCACGGTGCACCCAAATTAAGCATGTGTGACTGGTCTTGGCGCCAACGTAGTTGTCCATGCTAGCTGAAAGTTTGCATTCGCCCATCTCTGAAAGCCACCTTGGCAAAAGGATTGCATATCGTGTGCCGCTGCCCTGAAAGTTAAGGTCCATCGCTCGCCTTCATGTCAACAATGGTGCTGCTCCGCCCAAAGCGCCTCGGCTCATTGACAATCATCACTCATCAGTGTTGCCCTAATCGCCACCGTCCCTATCGACTATGCGTAGGGAGGAGGGGAGGTGAATGGACATTTTAGGTGTGTACTATAGGGTGCAGTGGCTATATGTAATTGTTTTTCCACAATGGTTTTTAGAGGTCTTGAATGTAATGTTTCAACTACCTTGGTCAACCAAGTGGGCACTTGAAACGCGTTTTTATCTGCTCTGGTATATTAAACCATGATTATGAATCTAAATATGTAATTTACAAGATCACGGATCTAAGTAACACTACCGTCCAAATTTAAAGACATATCGCGAATATCGCTCACAAGGAATATGAGTCATCCTTATAGATTAAGCTACTCGTCCCTTCTTTCATAAAGTTAATGCCAAAAGCTCAAACCTCATGCTTCCACGTCATCATCAATTATGAACCATTGGATGAATGCATTAGATTGCTTCTTAGACGTTGGATGGAACGCAACATAGAGCCCAACCCATCAAGCACCGGGTGAGTCTCTTCGCCTCCTTAGTGCCAAATGTAGCCCACATGAACACATTAACCCATCTCCACACTCATCTACATGTATCCGACCCATCAATCCGTATAAAAGAGCTTCATGGCCGAATGCCCATTCAGTTAACATTACAATTTGTTAACTTACGTCAGACCATTTTGCTTCTTTGTAGCTTATGCTTTGAATGCGCTACTTAAATTATCTACAAATTTTGGACAGGGTTGCTAAAAAGAATTTCTCTAAGAAAGTCATTTGTTTCTTCCTTTCTTCTTGAGATTGTACCTCCTATCTAACAAATTGATATTAACCAAGTCCCGCAGCAACGTGTGGGGCATCCTCAAGTTAATTAAGAGACAATATACATAACAGACACTACCTAATTTAAACACTACTACCTTATAGATTATGGAAACCGATATATATGTCGATCAGCTGGGAACAATAATAATCCATGGCCTTGTTTGGATCCTCCGGGCTATTAAATAGCCCTCCGAAATCTTGCTATTTAGGAATATTAAACATATATTACTGACAGAACCCATTCCATAACCCCTAGTCTATTTTGCGAGACGAATCTAACGAGTAACGAGGTATATTAATCTATGATTAGTGGATGATTATTGTAGCATCACTGTAGCAAATCGTGGATTAATATACCTCGTTAGATTCGTCTCGCAAAATAGCCTAGGGATTATGGAATGGATTTTATCATTAATCTACGTTTAATACTCATAAATAGTAAGATTCCGGATCCAAACAGGACCCATGTGGATATGCATAGGGCCGTAATTATCAGTTGATATGAATACATGGTCCGTTGGAAATAGTCCAGGTGGACGTGCATACTATATAATGATCAGTTGACCATACGATCGGTTAGGAATAATCCATGTGGATACGCGCATACTTTAATAATCAGTTTACCATACTATCTTGGAATATATAATATATACATGGATATGCATATTCCTACGTACCTTAGAGCACGCGCAAATTGTTGATCATTGAGAAAAGTTCAACATAATTTCTATACTACTACTGTACTACATGATGCCTTAGTAATTGCCACTGATTGTCTGATTAAGCACTGGCTTTTGCCAACCTGTGATGCCCATGTTCTCTTGGTTCGTTGATCTCTCCAATAACTACCGAGTCATGTGCAATGTATAGAAGATGCGTCCCTTTAGGCTGAGCAAATTAAACTTGATGATCGTTTTGTAATTTCAGCCTGAAAGACCCTCTTCTCTTCCTCCGCTCTCTTAATATGTAACTCAAAAAACTTGCCCCGCAGTGAATTTTCCCAAAAAAAAAAAACTACCGAGTTATGTCGGCGACAAGTCTATTCAATTCATCAAGCACGCATCTATCTTTTTCCTATATAGTTTATACCTATTAAAATATTAATTCCTACAAAGTAACATATACATAGAGCCACATCATCAACAATATTTTATCATTAGATTGAATTAGTATGAAGATAGTAGTTATGGCCTTATGGGATCAAGAAGTTATCTGGGGTGTGTTTGATTCTAGGAGAGAAAAAGAGAGGATTGGAAAGATACACAAAACAAGCTAAACCATTAGCGTATAATTAATTGATTATTAACTACTTAAATTTAAAAAAAAATGACTAATATGAATTTTGAAAGTAACTTTTTTTATATTTTCATAAATACATTGTTTAGCAGTTCGGGAAGTGTTTACATAACGGGTTTTTTCATCATGATAATTCTTCACTCATCTATGATTGTTCAGTTAATTGTTGAGTACTAACTATAATTTAATTTTTATATTTTTCATAGTGGGTATAAATTTATTAGCATAAGAGTGATAAATGTCAACTATCTTACTTACTAACGGATGGGTGTTATGGCTTACGAATGGCAACTACCTTTCTTTCTAACGACTTGGCTCTAATGGAGCAAACACCTAAAGTTGAAGTTATGTACACACACACATACATACATACATACATACATACATATATATATATATATATATATATATATATATATATATATATATATATATATATATATACAACCGATCAAATACATATTTTTATCCATTGTTTTCTGTTTTATCATAGATAGGTTTCGCTGCAATGCGTGATGTTCTCGCTAGTTTTCCTAACTATCAATACCACATCTATAAAAGATGACAATCGATGACACAGTAAGCTACTCTTCTCAAAAACCATATCTGCTATCCTGCCTACTATTGGTAGAGACCCAATTTGGTGATGGGCCAAATAGACGGCCAACTTTTTTTGGTGGAGCAATTTTACAGTATTTGACTAGGTATCATGAGGTACTAAAATTTTAGTGTAAAATTTAGTACCTCGTAGTACCTAGGTACTAAAATGTACCAAATTTACAATTAAAAAAAGTGGTACCTCATGTATCTTCTCAAAGAATATAAAATTGCTCTTTTTGGTGGGTTCGATGGAGGAGCCACATGTGCAGCACCCTTCGTTGGGCTTATTTTGGTCTTTGTCCCCATTACAACCAACAAGATGCACATCTTTTTTCCCTCTCAAGAGAAAATTGCACAAAATTTAAGTTACTGATCCACCTGTGCTCGCTAGCTAATCCAGGGATACAAATTCAGGGTACGTTGTACGTGTCAACGTTGGTGACAGGCCCTTGGAACCAGAAGCGAGCGTGAAGCACCCACGCGACGAGGCTGAGCAGCAGCACGCCACCGACGGCCACCGGCGTGTAGTTGAACGTCTCCTTGGCCACCGGGTACGCCACCGGCAGCGAGAAGAGCACCGTGACGGTGGCCACCCACACCACACCCACCCAGCCGACGATGACCCCGTACTTGCCGAGGTGGAACGGCCCGCGCACGAACGATCTCCGCGCCGTCGTCACGCGGAAAAACACCGGCAGCGCGCACGCGATCAACAAACCCAGCGTCGCGATCGACACCATCGCCTGGAAAGCCACCTGACTCCCCAGCGACTGTGCCAAAAAAACGTACACTATATGAGACCAGCACGTACGTACGCGCGCACGAGAAATTTGCAGCAGCAGCAGCAGCAACGCGTGTGCAACTCACCGTGAGAGCCATGACGAAGGCCACGGCGACGGAGAGCCAGACGACGTTGAGGGGCACCTCGCGGCTGTCCACGCGGTGCCACACGCGCGACAGCGGCATCGCGCCGTCCCTCGAGAACGCGTACCCCATCCTCGAGTTGCTGGTGATGCACGCGGATCCGCAGAGGAAGATGGCGACGGCGATGACACCCAGGCAGGCGAGCGCTCCGGCGCCGGTGCCGTACCTCCGGTGGAAGCTGGTGTACAGGGCCTGCGCGATGGCGTACCCGCCGGCGTCGTTGCTGGGGTTCAGGAGGTAAGGTATGTCGGTCATGATCGATGTCAGGGCAATCAGGTAGATCCATCCGAACATGGTTGACAGTGCAACGGACGTGATGATCCCAATTGGCCCACTCCAATCCGCGTTCTTGGTCTCTTCTATCTGAATATTTATATGCGAGGAGAAGATTAGTGGATGAATTGTATGTATGCAACGAGAAACTAAGGATTGTTCAGCTATCAGAAAGTTCAGAATTACGATGTGTGCAGATGTATCGTAGCCGATAAGGGAGTACTGGCTCATCAGCAACCCCGCTGCGAGAATGTATGCCTTGTCGTGGATGCCCGCGCCGTTTTCTGCGTTGAAATGGGTAAAGATGAACTCAGGGCTCACCCTCTCCTTGGCAACCGCTGGAATCAAGATCGTCAGCGAAAAGGCACCTGGAATTGTTTGTTCAAACAGACAAACCGAAGAATGAGATGATGTATATATGGGATTCAACACTGAATATCTGAAAAATGGCCGGGACGAACAGCACCTGCAACGTTCCAGAAAGCTCCAAGTTGGCCAAACCAGGAGAGCCATCGTATGGGAAGGCTGTTGATGAGGCCGTGCAGGATGAGGATGGCAGAGTAGATGGCCAACACGACGTACTTGGACGCCATGTAGCCGCCGCCGTTGGCGCCTCCCGTGGCAAGCAAGATGATCACCTGGAGAAGCTGCGCCAGCGAGAAATCCACGCTCGTCGTGCAAGCCCACTGGAGGATCAGTTAACGAGCAATTGGAGTGTCAGATTTCTGCACTTTTTTCCCTCAAAAGATTTCTGCACTTTCTGAAAACAGTTCGAGAGTGTAAAATTAACTCTTCTTTTTACTAGTTATATGCATGTATGTTATAATGAATTAGACCCATATAATTAGGGATATGAGCCGCCTATACGTTAATGGGCCAGCACCATATAATTAGGGAGGGATGGTGGTTACTTTTCGTGAACAGACGCGTTATGCATATTCGGATGAGAGCATGAAAGTAGAATAATTTCGCTTTTAAAATAGTAGAGATATACGATTTAGACTTAGTGTGGACCAGTGAGAAACATATTCATACTTGTCCCACAATATTGAACCTGTAAAACGTTATGCATATTCGGATGAGAGCATGTAAGTAGAACAATTTCGCTTTTAAAATAGTAGAGATATATGATTTAGACTTGGTGTGAACCCGTGAGAAACATATTCATACCTGTCCCATAATATTGAACCTGTAAAACATAATAAGGAAATATTATTAAATTCCAAAATTTAAAACATGATAACGATTAAACCATGAGAGATAAATTAACATGTTAGCGAAGAGCACACCAGCCAGTGACCCAGGAAGCTAGGGGAGCCCATTCCTTTCCGGCAAGCTTGGCGCTCCAGTAGTATAGCCCGCCGGAAGTCGGGTACGCCGAGCAGATCTCGGCCATGGACAGGGCGACGCAGCCGTTGAACGCCGCCACCACCAGCCATCCCAACGTCATGGACACCGGCCCGCCGTAGCGCAGCCCCGTGCCGTACGTCGTCGTGACGCCGGTCAGCACGGAGATGATGGAGAAGGAGAAGGCGAAGTTGGAAACCAGGCTAACAAAGGATTCAATATGGTAAGTTTACACTCACAAGCTACGGTGAAATTTAAAATGATCGCAATATGAAATGCATGGGAAAAGAAACATAAAAAACGAAAGAAGAATCACATACGAGAGGCCACGCTTGAGCTCCTGCCGGTAGCCCAGCTGGTGCAGCCGGGCTTGGTCTGCATCGGCGCCGGCGGCGTCCATTGTCACTCCGACGGAGCGAGACATCGCTGTCGATCTCTGCTTACTACTTGCTAGTTGCTACAGTAGTACGGAGTATATAGTATCTCTGCGATTTACTACTTGTATGATCGGTGGCGTACTGGCGTTGCTCAGTACAGAATATAAGCTTCCTAGAAGAAGCAAAGTCTCTGTTTGGCGTACAACTAGTCAAGGGAGGGAGTGGAAATCATGCACGGCTGCAGCACAAACACTTTGCCATTTTTGACTTTATGATTTATATTGCTATCGACATTTATCGAAGCCATCCCATTGGTCTTGCAATTCACCGCAGTCATCCCATTGGTCTTGCAATTCACCGCAGTCTGCTGGTAAGTTTTTCTGCATGGAACAGTGACCGGGCCATAGAAATGTCAGACAATGATAGTCGATACAGCCCAAGAAAGCAAACACACACACAGAGAGTATATCACGTGGCTCATGGACAAATCCTTACGCGCAACCGCAAGAAGCCGACGTACGGCCACCGGCCGACCGGCGTGTTGTAGAAGGCTTCCTTCGCCACCGGCAGCGGGAAGAACACGGCGACGGTGGCCATCAGAGGAAGTAGAAGTGGGAAACACAAAGATAGAGAACTGTACTCACAATAGCAATTGTAAACCAATACAGTAGTAGATGGATTCAGACAAGAAAGCAGGATCAGGCACGAGAGGCTCAAAAACCAGAACCACCGTTTACATGTGTAGAAGAAAGATTGTTATTACATATGGTACTTCCACAATAATGATAACTACACTGCTGCCTCGATCTCATGGCATCCTGGCACAGAAACCGCATTAATGCGTTCTAATGGCAAAGAAAAATTTACAGGATGAACTGAAATACAGATTCCACGTATGTCCCGTCCCGCTTAAGATTAACATAGTACAACCTGGCATTCTTTATGGAGTTGTTCTTTTCTCCGTTTCCACAGTTCCCTTGGAGGTAAACTAAAACATCATTAACAGTAACAAGACAGCAGGCTCAGTAAGGTCGGTATCGCCAATCAGCCCTTGATCTGCTACTGCTACTTCCGCTGTGACCATAACCGTACTGGGACATCAACAAGTTTTTGTTAGATGATTTGCATGAGATTCAACAGATAATTGGTGACAATCACAACGAACCAACATTAAGCCTACAGCTCTGTTATCACAAATGTACTCGGACCAATTAACTTATATATAAGCCTACTGTGCATCATAAGCATAATAATGTATTTGTGCACTTACATCATAGTCGATACCACTGCAGAACCTGCCATAAGTTCGCATTGAACCATAAGCCCCATAAAGATCCATGGGTTCCATGTAACCACCACCAGAGTCACCCTCAAGTGGTGCAGCAGTGTCTATTGCAACCTGAAACATTGGAATGGTATGATTAGTGTTTTTCTTTTCCCCAAAGAAAAGCTAAGGTTGACATTGTCACTTTGGCTTTGGAGGCATGGGAAGCAGAGACAAGGAGACACCAACAGCCTTACCTCATGTCCTAGAATTTCATGACTTCTGCGAGCTACCCGATCTGCCACACCCTCATCAGCAAAGGTGACAAAACCAAAACCTCGATGTCCACTTCTTTTAGGGTCCTTCAATACAATTAGAAAAGGTTGAGATTAACATAGTACAGTTACAAACAATGAGAAAGTCTTAACCTTACCTTTGGGATATATGCATCCACAATTCGGCCAAATTTGCCAAAGTAATGCCTTAGGTCCTCCGTGTTTGCCTCTTGTGGAAGCCTGCCAACAAATATCTTTTTGTTGCCCATTCCTTGGGAGGATCCATAGTATCCTCCTCCTAGTCAATGTAAGTCAAATAGAAAACATTTAACCAGTTAACAAAGTTGCTTTGTGTCAAACCTGTGATCTTCGTAGCAGAAGACTTACTTCCATAAGCTGACCCTGGATGGTCATACAGAGTAGGTGCACCCAAAGCTGCATATCTGGTAGCTGCTGAAATGTATGCATTATATGCACCATAGCCACCCTGAGATGCCCCCCTGCTTGGAGGATATCTGACTTCTTCATCCTGGTTCAGATGGATTTCAGGTGGTAACAAGTACATAACTACTTCAGTAAATAGAATGTCCTACTACAGAGCCTACTCAAAGATAAGATACTATTGGATGCAGCCACCAATGGCAAGTGCTTTGGAGCAAAGGTACCTTAGGAGTGGCGCGGTCAACAACTACTGTTGTGCCATCCAGTTCATGTGAATCTTGCATGATACTGTCCACAGATTCTGTAACATTACAGTTGCATTGAATAAGGTAATTACAAAATGCATATCAAGCTTAAAGATCAAACTGGGGAAAAAAGCAATCATCCCTAAAGAACACAGACATGAAGTAAAGGTTTCAGGTCAAGATGCCATTTTATATAAATGAAGACTCATCTATGCTAAAATTATTCTTCCCCAACAACAAATTAAAATGAACGCCTGAATAAATGATGGAGGATTTCTGCAAACGTACCTGCACTCTGAAAAGTGATGAACCCAATTCCACGATGACCCTTTGAACCATGTTCCTACACACAAAACAGGAGGGTGGAAGACTCATTTCAGTAAAATCTTATCATATTTAGCATTGTAGCTCCATTCATTACCATATAATTTCAATAATCAATTGTAGCACCAAAACAAATACTCGTACCAAAAAAAATCCACTTATGAGCTTAATGCTGATTGTGACAAACAAGAAGAATGCTATTTTAAATGCTTCGCCTGTGCTAACTTAAATTCAATCAGCACCTTCTATATCCAGTCTCTTATAAGATGCATGCCTAATTAGCGAAGGCCACAGGAGTCCAGACAATCCTAGCATTAGGATTAGTTTAGATATTTGTCCTTATCGGAAGGAAATCTAGTTAAACTAGTGATAAGCAAATCTAGGTAACTATATAGAAAGAGTGTATCTACTTGTATTGGTACTTAATTGTGATATCACAGAGAATACATAAATATTTTTAGCAATTTAAAAATAATTCCAAATTTGCTCACCTTTGGCATGTAAAGATCAGTGATTTCTCCATAGGCTTCAAAATGCCTATCAATAAAATGTTCTGATTAGAGTCTTTATGCAAGCTCGGATATTCAACTGATAAGTGAACTGAGTGCTGAACAAAAGGACTGAAGCTATAGCTTACCTACGAAACATGGACTCATCCACGGACTGCGGAATTCGAGCAACAAATATTCTAGTAGCCTTTTTTGATCCCTGTGATTTCATTTCTTCCTATTCAATGACAAGATACACCATAGTCAACTACAGCTTGATGTGAATCAACTGTACAACATACTGCTAGCATATATAATATATGTTTGTATTTTATTTACCTTAGGAGTGGCTATCTTCACTTCTAGAGTTCGGTTTCCGAGAACATGCTCACACTCAAGAACATTCTGAAAAAAATGTTGCAGAATGATTCAGAACGAATAAATTGCAGCAGTACCAAATATGTTAGAAGATAGGGTATTACTAAACCATGTTATTATACCACATTAATTAGTAAACAAGATATTACTAAACCACTTTATTATACCACATTAATTAGTAAACCACTTTACTAAGCACCTCTTAAAAAATTCGAAGGTTGATATTTCACAGTTGATATATAAACTCTAACAAAAGATTTAAAATACAACACTAGTCATGCAATGTAATATCAAGTCAGCAAATCTGGGAGAACAGGATTACTACCTTGGCATCATCAGCTGATGAGAACGTTACATAACCAAACCCACGAGATCGACCAGACGAACGCTCCTATAATTTTAACGTACAAGAAAGATAGTGGTCAGTCAGTACACAAATTACCAAATCAGGCTAATAAATTGATGAATACAGTACTGAAGAAGTTATTTAAGATGTGCATCCAGAAATTCAGGACTCAATTTTGGCGGACAACCCCAGAAAAAGGAAGACTAAATAGAAATCAGATACTGAAAGCGAAATACAAGCACATAGCCATATCTGTTCCAAGGCAAACTCATTATTGAAAGGAATAGATTACCAACAGTACAACATGTGAGGCTGTGGTTTCCCAAATAACTTTAAAAAGACAAGAAACATATTCTCCTCAAATCTTAATGGCATGTAATAAACACAAAGAATATGGCATCTAATATCTTATTCTGAATATGAAATTGCTACAAACCTTCATGACGACGCAATCATCTAGGGGTCCAAACTTGCCCATGTACTCTCTTAATCCTTCAGTGTCCACATCCCATGGGATTCCAAGAACCTAAGTAAATAAATCTCATGTCATCATTCTTCATGAATGATTAAACTATGAAAGGACACATTCGTTTATAGAATCCTAAAAAGAGAAAGATTGTCCACTTACCACAAGTTTTGTGGCCATTATAGCACTAGCTCCAGCAGAACTTTTCAGCTCTCAAGCCTCAAGCCTTTCTGGGCCAAGGAAAACTATTAAGTGGTCTTTCTGAAGGTTCCCAAGAATCACCAAGATATTTCCCTACAGATATATGAAGAGAATCCACACTTATAAGTTTCTTGCGCATGAAGTCAAGTAAGCACACTAGGGTATGATGGTTTATATGGTTTGGTAAGAAAATTAAATTCATATTCATACTCGTAGAACTAGTATTACTTTACTATCCAGGATGCAACATAAATACTATGTCTGCATAAATAAAATCCTGCTATGCAATGTAAACTAAATGGTGAAAGAAAAATAGATCTACTTCCCATGTTCAATGGCACGTGGCCATACAGAAAATGCACATGTAAGAAAAAAATAATCCAATGTAATTATGATAAATGTTTCATTTCTCACTAAGATAAGGAGCAAGTTTTTCCAGGGGATGTTTGGTTCAAGGATTTTGCTCAGTACAAAATCTGATTTGGGTTCAACTGGGCTGTAAGCACTAAGCGGAAAATGCGGAAGGGACACAGACACAGTAGACACGTGTTACTACTCAGAATTGTGTATAATCAGAAAACAATAAGAGCTTTCTCCGCCCAGGAAACACGATCCCCTATTCCCCTCACATCGGGAGGAGGCACAAAACTCCTAAGGTGTAGGTGTAGGGGTTCGTCCTCCTCACGTTCCCCTCCCTACACGAGTAACACACGTTTCTCGCTGATTCGGAATCTACGGGATGAGATGGCGGCGCCGGCCGTCCGGAAGGCCAGCACATCGAGCGCGACATGGCACGGTCACCAGAATCGACGCCCGCAGCAGAGCGGAGGCGGACGGCACGTCAGATTTGCTGCTGCTATGGCGTCGGCTGTGTGCTCCCCTCCTCTACCAGGTCGGGGACTGCAATTGACGGGTGAAAAGTGATGGGACAAAGGGATGCGTACCTCACCGAAGACGATGAGGCTGAGCTGGGATTCCTCCGGGAAGGTGAGCTCGCCGGGGTGCCTCCGTCAAGGCGGATTCGCCGGGGACGCTCGCCGTTGGGGAAGGAGGAGAGGATTTGGTGGGCGGTTAGGGTTCGTCGCAAATTGGCTTGGATTTCTCCTTTCCCTTGTTTTAAGAGTTTTTTCTTTTCCTCTCTCTTGCAAATGATATGATACGAAGTAGTAACATATTTGCAGTAGGACCCCTGTGAATTGTCTGTTTCAACTCTGGGCCCAAATTCAGGGGAATTCCAGGCTTCCGGCCCGGCTGAAAATTCTCTGGTGGGCCTACGCTAGAGAAGAGGGCCCAATTTCTTTGAGCCCATCTATCTCGTTGCCAAGGCCCGTTTTGACTTTTTAATGGTAGTGTCTGTACTCTGTACTCCTACGGTTCTGCTCCATCTCTTGGCGACTTGGCCTGTTTAGTTTCAGAGTTTCAGTCGTGTGAAAAAAAATAAAATAAACAAGCACTAGTCATACGCATTATCACACACTATACGAGAGAACATAGAGGTAGTTGGTTAGGCCCATCGAAATTTGGAAGAATTATGGCCGCAATGCCTGCTTAAAGCATAGCAATTCAGACTTTCAGAGCTTTTCTGTACCTCGTTGTGATACAGGCTCTATAGGTGAGCACTATAAGAATTATTTTTCTCAACTACTCGAGCTGAACATAAGAAAAAAAAGAAAAATAAGATTTGTAGCTACTCCATTGGAAGATCAACTAGTCTCTCATTGGAAGCAAAAATAAATTACTCCTATGAAGATTGATTAGTGTATACTCATGTCATGGAACATATGACCAACCTTTTTGATCAAAAGGTGCATGCTCTCTCTCCGACCAAAGGGCGGCAGTTGCTTTGAGCGTGAGCCACATATCCTCAAGAACAAATACTACTACCGTACTGCAACTTTTGCTTGGAAACATATAAAAATGTTTGAAAACTTTTTGAATTAGACCTACCGCAATAGCAGCGGCGTTGTGCGTTCTCCTTTTCTTCATTGATCCCGTGCGTCGGAGTATCAGAAATTCATAGCAGCAGACCCCCATTGGGTGCTCTCTGACTGCCCGTCCGTACTGTCAACGCACTAAGTAATTGGCTACTTTTCTATAAAACTTCTGTAATTGCACATGTCTTTTTATGAAACACCATTGGCTATTTTACACCATGGCATGAGTGTTTCTTCTGTTCAAAACCAAGTCCCAACGAAAGGAACTACTGAGCTAAGACGTGAACAGATTTGCAAGAAACTTGCCAGCTTACACATCTTACATTACATGCATGATGCATCTTCTCTTCAAGCCAAGCTACGAATAAACCAGTACTAATTCCACTGCATGTATTAGAAGAAGCCAGAAGCTTCAGAAGCTTAACATATACTCCCTGTTGAAAATTTGGTCATAATTCGGCATATTTTAATCTAAAATAACAAGATAATAAACATGATATTTACAATGGAATTTGATCCAGTGATAGTGGTGAATATAATCAACATGAGCATGCTTAACGTTGAATAAGCATCAACAATCACATAATGACACAATGTTGACATTGCGATGAACATTAACAGTAAAACTTCTAATTGAAATAATGTAATAAGGTTATACCCCAAGAATGGTCCTCCGCTGGAGTTTGAGGCAGTATTGCCTCCGTTGGTGTTGACGGGAGTCTCCTTCTCCTTGTCTCCAGTGTTCGACATGTTGGTGAAAATGAAGTAGATGTTGACGAACAGTGAGTAGTCGCGCCTTGCGCTCCCCAAAAACCTGATCGCCCGCCCGTCTGTGCAAACGTCGCAGCAACGCGTGGTTTCGGAGGCCTACTCTCCCAACGCGTGTGCACACACTCGTCGGGATGGGATTACCGTAGCAGCAACAGCTTTGGAAAATGGATGAAAGTGTGTCTTCCTCTTCTCGCGGGAGATCAAATCCATTCTCATTTTATAAGAGGAATGGAAGATGAAGAGTAAGAGTCATGGAATAGGAAGAGGAATAGAGCAACTAATTGTCATCAACTAGCCATGAACCATCCTCCACTACACAACCATCAACCATCCATCAATTAGAACTAATTGATATAAGTTACCAATTCCTTAATCAAATAGATTAATTCTCAAAACTCTTCATCCCATTGATATCCCATAAAAGAATGAATTCACATGAATTCCTAGCATAATGAGCCTTGGAATTTATTTGGTTTAATTGATTTAAATGGATCAATTACCCAATTAAATCTAACACTCCCTTCGTATTTTAATGTATGACGCCGTTGATTTTTTAACCAACGTTTGACCATTCATCTTATTCAATTTTTTATGCAAATACAAAAATACTTATGCTATGCTTAAAGAACATTTGATGATAAATCAAGTCACAGTAAAATAAATGATAATTACATAAATTTTTTGAATAAGACGAAAGGTCAAACGTTTATTAAAAAGTCAACGACGTCATACATTAAAATACAGATGGAGTACTCTGTAGTATATGAATATAGCACTATGGAACGCTGTCTGCTGACTTTGGTCGGTGGATTAATAGTAGTGTTAGTATTAGTAGACTGTATATATATTCAGCAGTAGTTGTTCAGTACACAAGAACTAGCCTTGAAGGCACCTCCAGCCATAGAGAACTAAAACGATGGCAGTACACAAGAGCTTGCTCTACCTAAACCATGGACTTGCCTTGTGCTTCAAGTGCATCATATACAAGAAAAAACGAGAGAAAAATGGTTCAACCTCTAATGCAATCAGACACACGAGTTGAAAATGTTCGTCAGTAATGAGCTCTGAAACATTTTGGGCTCCCTGTCAAATGCTTCTAGAACAACCCGAATCACCAGCCTTTTTTTTTTCTTTCGGAGTTTCAGACTGTCAACGTCTCACCGATAATTCGCGTGTCTGATTCTGTCTTGGTTTTTATAATGCGCATCTGATTCATTAATCCCATTGTTGTAGCAGGTTGTTACTGTTCAGAGTGCTTCATGATGCTGGATTGCTGGATACTGCATCAACATCATTAAGCCTGTTTAAACATGGACAAGTGTCCGAATAAGGGGAGAAGAAACAGAAAGTGTTATGCTTAGTGCGCTCATGTGACCTCTAATTTCTTGCTTTACTGCCTATTGTGCTTGTATGGTTCTGATTATATGATGCGTATTTTCCATCATGGTAGCATGTGCAATCAGTTGGTCGGCGTTAATTTTGTTTTGATAATGTAAAGTCCCGCAAATTTTTCCATGGATTCACCGCTTAATATATTGAATTGGAGAAAAGATGGCAGATTCAAAATTATCACCGTGTAGTTTACAGCAAGAAAAACACTGAAATCAGCAAACTTGTGCGAAATGAAGGCAAACGCTCGAAACGATCAGACCTACTCACCTAACCGTAATAAACAAACGAAATCTGTTTCCGTTTTGACGAATAGAAAACGTAAAACCGTAGTGACAAAGCAGCCCGCGCCTAGTAGCCGTTGAACCGCCCCTGCCTCATGGGCCCCACCTGCCATTAACTTTTTCGTTTTCTCGAAAGAGGGGGGGGGGGGGGGGGGGGGGGGGGGAAGATAAAAACAGCACGCGCTAGCTCGGTCGAGTCGTCGTCGTCGCCTCAAACCACCCGCCTCGGCCTCTCTGTCCCGGACGAACACCTCGCAGCCTCTGCTATTCTCGCCACCACCTCCGCGTCCGCTCGCCTCAAGAAAGCATCCCCGCACGCGGCCATGGCAATGCCATTGCGGGATCCAACAGACCGCGCTGCTATGTCCGCGCCGTTGCTCCCGCGTTCCGCCTTCGTCTCCTCCGCATCGTTCTCCTCCTTTTCGTCCGTCGCCTCGTTCTCCTCCACCTCGTCGTCGTTCTCCGACCCGGCCGTCCCGTCGGATGTCGTCGAGGCGTTGCCGATGTCGAGGGACTCGTTCAAGGCGCTCGCCGTGCTGAGGGACCACCAGGGCTCGGTGTCGTCCCTCTCGCTCTGCGGGGAGTTCTTGCTCAGCGCGTCCACCGGCGCAGACATCGTCGCGTGGCAGCAGCCGGATCTCCGCCGCTTCGCGAGGTTCGGGCATGGGGAGGGGTCCGTCAAGGCGCTCGCCGCCGCGGGGGGCAGGGTGTTCTCCGCGCACCAGGACGGCCGCGTCCGCGTCTGGCGGGTGTCGCGGCGGTCGGAGAACGCGTTCAAGCTCGTCGCCGCGCTGCCCACCACCAGGGACTACCTGGGCAAGATCTTCCGCCACGCCAGCTACGTGCAGACACGCCGCAACCACCGCCGCCTCTGGATCGAGCACGCCGACAGCATCTCCTGCCTCGCCGTGCACGACGGCGTCGTCTACTCGGGCTCCTGGGACAAGACGCTCAAGGTCTGGCGCATCTCCGACCTCAAGTGCCTCGAGTCGATCCACGCCCACGACGACGCCATCAATGCCGTCGCCGCCGACAGCGGCACCATCTACTCCGCCTCCGCCGACGGCCACGTCAAGGCGTGGGGGAAAGGCAAGGCGGCGCACTTCCTCCAGGGCATCCTCATCTCCCGGGACGGCGTGTCGTGGAACGCCCTCGTGGCGAGCGCCGACGCCGGGGCTCGCCGCGTGTACGCCGCCGGGTCGGACGGGCACGTCGTCGGGTGGGACAGGGTAGGCGGCAGGGGCAGCCGCTGGAGCCTCTCCTGCGACGTGAAGGCGCACGACATGGCCGTGCTCTGCCTGTGCGTCGCCGGCGACCTTGTCTTCACGGGCTCCGCCGACAAGACCATCGGGCTGTGGCGCTGGCAGACGAGCGGCGACGGCGACGGCGCCGCCGCCGCCGCCCTCGCCAGGGTGGGCGTGATCAGAGGCCATGAGGGCCCCGTGAAATGCATCCAGGCGAGCTGGTGCAGGGTCAGCAATGGCTGCATGGTGTACAGTGGAGGGCTCGACAAGAGCATCCGAGTTTGGTGGGTGCCCAATGGCTGGAAGGCCAACGAGCAGAAGCAGCAGCAAGAAAATGACACGAAAGATCACAAGAACTGCGTGTTCTTGAGGTGAATCGTGTCAGGTCAGGTCAAAATGTGTTCTTGATTTGTGTTGTGTTTGTAGATCGTAGTTTGGATTGTTTGGTAGCACACTGCCTTGGTTGGGTTGATGATCTACTCTGATGGATATATTGGAGGATATGAATTAAGGAGTCATGAAGGTATTAGTTTTAGATTTGGGTGTAAATGGCTGTATACTTTTATACCTAATTCATACACATTTTGATTAAATGGAAATATCAGTAATAATGGTTATCATAATCTCATATTGTTAGAAATGTGTTTGATTCTCAGTATCACGGTGTGTCTCTGATTACTGATTAGTGTCAATACGCATCTATCCAAACGTAAAAGCTCAAAATTCAAGCATAGCAGGTCCTTTACACTGATCCTGCACATCGCTCACTGTTTTCTTTCCGAGGTACCTCAACATTATCCTTGATTATCTAAAAAGCGTTAAATTCCTTGAATTGTACTTAAAAATGAAAATTTTAATGTCCTAAAAAAGTATGGAGATGTATAGATGGTCAAATGGGCCGCCCGAAGTGGCACGGCCCAAGCACGGTCAGGCCTGAGCCGACACGGCTGGGCTCAGCCCACAGAATATGAAGATTCCGGACTGAAGAACTCATCGCACTTACGATGGGCTCCATTCGATGGCGAGATAAATACTGGTGGTCCGGAGAAAGAACTCACGAGGAACACACACACCCCTACCCGTCTCTGTTCATCTCCACATCTTGTCTTCTCGCTGTTGACTTCGAGCGGAGACTAGACTAGCTACTACTCGGAATGGGGAAGGAGATGAATCTGATCCGAGAAGACGAGTACGGCGGCGGCGGCGTCGGGTTCGAGCCGACGGAGGACGAGCTGATGCTCCACTTCCTCCGTCCGCAGCTGCGCGGGTTCGCGCCGCGCGTGGCGGGCGCCGTGGTGGAGGCCGACCCCTGCGGCGCGGCGCCGTGGGAGCTCCTGGCGCGGCACGGGAGGCGGGAGGAGGGGTTCTTCTTCTCGGCGCGCGCGCGGAGGAAGCCCTCGGTGCGGCGGACCGTGGCGGGCTGCGGCGGCGGCGGTGGCGGCGGTGGCGCGTGGATGCACAGCTCCACCAAGAACGGGCAGTCCGTGACCGACCTCGGCGTGGTGGTGCGGTGGTGCAGGATCAACTACTGCTTCTACGTGCGCGGCGAGATGGGGCAGCAGCGGAGCACCGGGTGGATGATGGCCGAGTACGAGATCACCGACCCGCGGTGCTACCGCCGCGCCGACGACGGCGAGGAGGACGACTTCTGGGTTCTCTGCCATGTCAGGAAGAGCTCGAGGCCCCAAGCCGCCAAGATCTCTCCAGCCAAGCCAGCACGGCGGCGCAAGCCCGCCGCCGCCGCCGCCGCGGATGTCCGGGCTGCGTGATCCGGCCGACGGCGGAGATCACGAGGTTTGCCTCGCGTTGGGATTCGACTTCGGTTATACTTTTGCTTTGGAATTGTGTTCCTTTGCTTTATTCCTCCTCTAGCATCTGCCCATACATTCCGTGTGATGAACACTGCGAATCAAATGGGACGTTTAAGATGTTGTTGTTGTACTGATAGCGTGATTGAATTCATGGCCTCTTTCTGCCAAGCCGCATATGGAGTTTTTTTTGGTGTTTCAGTTTCAAGTCGCGGTTGGTGAATCCGAAATCACGTGATTAAAACAGTAATTATCGAGCACGGAAGGAATGGAATTTTTTTAAAAAAAATGCAGAACGGAGTAATTTCTTACAGATCATCCTGTTTCTGCTTGATGCGATAGCTAATCGCTGTCGGTGCTCTATTACTGCTCCAGCTCAAGCTCGAACAGCATTCCAGCTTGTCGGCCAAATTGGACATATCTTTCGGCCCAATTGGTTTAATCCCCATCTCTTTTAGCCGGGCCGCAAGTTATCCCCTCCTCGTCACGCTATCTATAGGCCCATTATTATCTATCTGTGTTATGTTTTAGAACAAGCTGGAAATGCTGGTTGAGCTCGAGCAGTAGTAGATAGGGATGAAAACAGTCCGGAAAGTTTCCGAATTCCCGACGTGTTTTTGGAAACGGGAAGTGTCGGTCAGAATTTTTTCGAAAAATTTGGAAACGGAAACGAATTCCGAATTCCGAATTTTTTTTCTCGGAAACGGAAACAAACATGATAAGGCTGCTATTCGTTGGAAACCGTAATCCGACGGAAATTTTCAAGAAATGAATTCAAAAACAGAAATGAATTCGTTGGAAACCGTAATCCGGCTGTGGGAGAACTTCACGGCGCTGCAGGAGGACCCCGCGCTCTCGCCTTGCTACGCCGACCAGCTGCGCCTCGTGTACGACCCCGTCGCCGGCGACTACCGCAACGTGCCCGGCGTCGACACCCGCGTCGTCTCCTTCGGCTCCACCCGCGGCTTCCGCTCCGACGATCCTGCTCGAAAGTAAGCGATATCATGTCGAATTTATCGTACTCCACTCCACAAGGAGATGAACATGCAATGCATATAGGGACGTGTGCATGGAGAGGCTCGTGGAGGCGCTGGAAGAGGAGGGATACGCGGAGGGAGAGAACCTGTTCGGCGCGCCGTACGACTTCAGGTACGCGCCGGCCGCTCCCGGCTTGCCGTCCGGGGTGTTCTCCGACTTCACGTCGAGGTTAAGGCGCCTCGTGGAGCGCGCGAGCGAGAGGAACGGAGGCAAGCCGGTCATCCTCGTGACGCACAGCCTCGGCGGCCTCTTCGCCATGGTGTTCCTCGACCGGACCCCGCTGCCGTGGAGAAGGAGGTACATCAAGCACTTCGTCATGCTCTGCCTCGGCGTCGGCGGCTCGCCGCTGAACATGTGGCCCCTCGCCGCCTCCTCCATCCCGTCGTCGTCGTCGTTGGTGGGCAGCGTGCTGACGTACGGGAACAGGAGCTTCGCGAGCATGTTCTCCCTCCTGCCGTCGCCGGCGGTGTACGGCGACACGCCACTGGTGATCACGCGAGCCAAGAACTACTCCGCCGACGACATGCCGGAGTTTCTCTCGGCGGCTGGTTTCTCCGACGACGAGGTGGCGCTCTACCGGGCGAGGGCGCTGCCGGTGACCCTGGATTTCCGGGCGCCGCTCGTGCCGCTGACGTCCATCAACGGCGTCGGTGTGCCGACGGTAGATAAGCTGGTGTTCTGGGACGGCAACTTCAGCGCGAAGCCTCAGGTGGTGAACGGCGACGGCGATGGGCAGATCAACTTGGACACCGTGTTGGCATTAGAAAGGTTGATCGGTGATGACCCGGATCAGGGTTACTTCAAGTCAATTTTGATCCCCAACACGACGCACAAGGGTGTCATCTCCGATGAATTAGCGCTCAAGCGTGTGGTCAGCGAAATTCTTGGAGCAAATTCAATTAACTAAGGGGAAACTGTTTTAATCCCTCGAGGGGATATCCCCTCGAGGGATATCAAAATTCTCTTCCTTAACTAAGCCACTTCTTGAATCTTTGATAGCAGACATGTATTATCCAAATCCAAAACTGAGTGTTCCTTTTGCTTCTAGTTGCAGCTTTCATTTTATTCTGAAATAATAAATAAGTAATCTTGCATGTCATGATGTCAATGAACTTCATCTTGAATTAATTTCTAGAGTCAAAACTCGAAACGAAATCTACATGATCTGAAACTATCTGTTAGGAATTTTGCGTGTCTATCAGCCGTGTTTATCATCAATAAGAACAAGTATAATAGCAGGCTACAAGCTAGCTATCACTGCACATAAAACATGATGGATGGAGTATTAGCGATATTGACTTTTTTGCTGCACATGATTGGCATTGTAGCGCCCGTTCCGTCGTGGCGCCTAGCGGGAAAACTATCTCTTAAAAACCCTATTTGCGAAATTTGTTTCTTTTCTTGTCGTCTAGTGTCCGTGCCATCTCAGATCTCAAATCCCCGATCTATCGTCGAATTCAATCCCGAATCCAAATCCTTCCAAATCAATCCCTCCGCAAAAGTCTATTTCGCCTCCCCCGGGTTTGATGGGCCGAATCTCTCTCGGCCCATCTCCCTCCCTCTCTCTCTTTCTCTCTCTCTCCGCTCTGGCCGCGCGCCGCGCGCGCGTGCGCGTGAGCCGCGCCGAGCGTCCCCCCCTCCCTCGCTCTCTCTCTCCCCGCCTCCATCCCTGGCGAGCTCCTCGCCCGCGGAATCGGCCCCCGCGCGCCGTTGTTCGCGCGCGCGCGCCCGCGTGGTCGCCGCCCGTGCCGCGCCTGCGCCGTCTGCGCCGCCCGGCCCCGCTGCCCTGCCACGCAGCCGCTCGGCCCCGCAAGCCAGCACGCGTGCCCGAGCCGTGCCGCTCAAATCGCCACGCCGCCCGTTGCTTCCCGCGCGCGCGTGCCGTGGTGGCCGACCGCCTGGTCGCCGCCGCCGTCAGCGCCTGCCGCGCCTGCCCGCGCCTGCCGCCCGTGTCGTCGCTCCGCTCCAAATCGCCCCGCCGTCATCGCCGTCGTCATCGACTCGGCCCCGCCTCTCCCCGCGCGTGCTTCCAAGGAAAGAAGGCAGGGCTCCTCCTCATCGCCTTCTCTCCCTCCTCCTTTTCCCAAAGAAGCAAGGAGGCAAGCCCCCTTTCCCTCTTCCTTTCTTCTTTTTCCTCCCATCGCCGGCGTCACCTCCTGTCGTCGTTTTGGCCGCTAGCCGGGCGCCAGCCCACCGGCTTGACCGTCCAAAGTCGGTTCCCCTCTCCCAAACCGACATTGTCGCCCCTTTAAACCCAAGCTCCTCCCTCCTCCAATCTTCCTCGTTTTCGTCTCTCGCCGCCACGCCACTGTCGCCCCTGTTCGCCGTCGCCGATCGTCGTTGCGCGTGTCGGAGGAGCCGGCACGAGCGAGGACGTGGAAGGGGACTCCGGGCGCGCCCTCCCCTTCCTCTTCCTCGGCCCGAGGCCGAAACGATCACGTTTCGCGCCGTCGGCTCTCGTCACTGCGCCCGCCCGCACGGTAGTGCATCCCTCCATTCTCCCTCCTCGTTCCATCTCCTCCCTTTAGACTCGGGTAGTAGCACGAGTAGCCTCCCCGTAGCTAGCTGGCGCCGCCCCGACCTTTGCCGTCGCTCGCCGTGTGCTCGCCGCTGTCGCCGCCCGAACTCGGAAACGCCTCTCGTCGCCAGCCTCCCTCGATGCGTTTCCTCCTAATCCGGCGCAAGGGACGGATTCCCGTAGCCGCGTAGATGCTCTCGCCGCCGGGAATCGGCCCCTCGTGACCTCGTCACCGTTTTCCCCTTTTCTCTCCGCCGGTGGCCGCCGCCACAATCCGCCGCCGTCGAGCTCCCTCCGGCGAATCCGAGCCGTTGGCTCGTCTCCCCTCATCTCGTGCAACCACCCGGTGTGCTCGCTTTCGCCTGTATCGCCGTGATTCGCTCCGCCGCTCGCCGCCGCCGCCCGCCGTCCATTCGCGGCCGGCGTCTTCGTCTTCCTCCAGCCGGCCCGCGAGGCAGCCACGTAGGTGCCACGTCGGTGCCACCTCGGCACAACCGAGTCGGCTGACCCGGTCAGCCACTCCCTCCGTTCCACCCTCCCCGTGCGCGCGGTCCATCGCGAGCCGTGAGGCTGCGCGTGGGCCCGCCGCACCCGCATCCCCCGCGAGCCGCGCGCGTGCGCCGCCCAAACCCTAGCGCCGCATCGCGTGCTCCCTCCGCACGGTGAACCGTGCCACCGACAAGCGGGTCCCACCCGGGACCACGCAAGGTGGACCCGGCCCACCGGCTCCCTCTCTCCTCTCCGCCCGCGCGCGCGCTTTGGGCCGCCTTCTTGGGCCGGCCGGACCATTTAGCTCGGCCGAGCCGCCCCTTCCTCTCGGGCCGCGCCCTAGCCGCCCGAGGAAAGTCTGATTTCCCTCCCTCCTTCTTTTCTTTTCTTTTTCTTTTTCAAAAAGGATTTAAATAAATCATTTTTCCTTTAGACCAAAAATCTAATAATCTTAGAAATTCAATATCTTCCAACCGTAAATCCGTTTGACTCCGTTCAACTTCCAAAATTTCTCAAATCTCGAGATCTATCTAATGGCACGCTTAGAGGTCATTAATAGGGCTTTATTTTCGCCGTTTGTTGAGTTGTCCCGTTTTGCGTGTAGTTTCGGAGCCCGAAGACCCGCAGTGCGAGGATTTCGAGGATCAAGCTCAAGATCTCGAGCGAGGCAAGCCACCCTTGAACATCTTGAGCCTATATTTGAACTTAATTATGTTGCTTGAAAAAATATTATGCATTGATAGGATCACACTTAATCTGCTTGTCCCGTCTGCAAGGCAGATTGGCGGACCTACCTATTTGTTGCATTTGATCCTTCCTCTGTTAATTGTTATACCATGTTTCCTTGTAACCACCTAGTCGCGCCTCGAAAATCGTGCACTCTGCACGAGTATCGACGGTCGCCTTCAAACTTAAAATCTGAGTAACTTCTTGGGTAAAACTTGGGTTTTACAAAAGACTTGGAAAACCCGACACCTGGGTCGGTGCTTGTGAACTAAATGAATTTCCAAAACCGCGGACCGGGGAACGTACCGGGTGTACGGTTTCCCGCTCTTGCACTTAAGGACCGTTTCCTTGGAATTTCATCCGAACATAGGACAAGTACGACCACATGGGTGGAATGGGACACCCCTGGCTGAGTAACTAGCTTATCAGGGGAGCCTTGATGCCGAGAGACATGTGGATTCGCCGGGGTGGTGTCGGGGAGGACCCCCGGGCTTCCTGGCACAGTATGGTCTGGGACCTAACCTGTTGTTGGTCTGGGACCCCTCTCGTCGGCATATGGTAAACCTGTGTCGGCTTTCGAAATGCCTTGTCATGAAAGCTTGGAGGTCTCCCGACGTGGCTGATCCCCATAAGCTAGGTGATCCGGGTTAGTAATGTCGTGTGGGTAAAGTGTACCACCTCTGCAGAGGTTAACAAACTGTTCGAACAGCCGTGCCCACGGTCATGGGCGGATGTGAGGTGATTCCTAGCGTAGTTTTGTTTGACTACTGCCTTGTGAAATTTGCTGTTGTGGAAAGGGGATCGATGTTTGGAAAATCTGCAGCTGATGGGATCAGCTAGGCCCGGGTGGCCGTTTGAAGGTTGTTGGCCCGGGTGGCCGTTTAAAAGTTGTTGGCCCGGGTGGCCGTTTGAAAGTTGTTGGCCGGGTGCCAACCTTGAATCAATTCAAAAGACTGATACATTGCACATACTCCGACCGGACGAGACGCACTGTCTCATCCGTGTCGTTTGAGAAGCACTCACTTAGTTGATTTCAGAAAAGAGTTCAAATAAAATCAATTGCAAAAACAACAGCCTTTCCTTGAAGCCTACATTAAACACTTATTTCCCGTGGCTTGCTGAGTACTCCCGTACTCACCCTTGCTCTATATAAATAATCCCCCCCAGTTGCTGAAGAAGATGAAGCGGATCCCGCTGACGAGGAGTTCTTCCAGGAGCAAGCCGGCTACGATGAGTTTTAGGGTTTTGGCCTAATTCCCAAGTCGCGCCTGTGATGTTTGGTCCAAGTCTTGGCTTCCGCTTCCCTTTTGTAATGCAGTTGTGAGCTCGGGATCTGTCCGCAGCCCAACATGACTGTACTCCTACTCTATAATAAAGAGACCTCTGTTACTGTGATATTCTGTCTTCCTGTGATACCAGCACTGTTTCCTGGGACTGGTATCGATTAACAGGTTAATTTGGAGCGTCACGGGCTAGTTCCGGTCGGGACTAGTCCGGGGCGTGACAGGCATATTACCGAATATATGCATATGGTACTATTGGCTGGTTTGGTGGAATTCCAATTCTGAGCCTTTTTTATCCACAGCTCATGTTCTCTGTTTTTATTAAGACGGATGTTCTCTGTGATTAGAATATTTGGAGAATTATGATCAAACATGGACTATACTATATCCTGACTAGATGTGAATTATATTTGTATAAATCAGGATTTGTTATGTGAACTAGCACATTGCCAATGCCAGGTCAAACAGTAAGTTTTTTTTTCTTCACTAAATATGAGCGCATGGATCTGAAATATATTAATTCATCGGTCAACATGGAGCAAAAAAAAACAAGCATAGCACAACTGATCTAAAAACAATGTCTGACGAATTCCAGTCCATTAATTGCAGAAACAAATGTGCAAATTCTTTAGTTGCTATAACAAAGGGAATTCCAGTCCATTAGTGCCGCAAGCCAGAGCAGCTTGAGTGGCCAAAATCGAGCTGGTGAAGCAGTCTTCTCTGTTCATGATCTGTGTCCTCTGTTCTGGAACTGGTAAGCCGAAAATGTTTGCGTCCATCAGTACGTTTATGTGCCATTTGTTTGGCACAAGATGGTACCAATATATAGTCACAGCAGGCTGCTGTCATTAGCAGATAAAGAGATCCTGAATATTTTTATTTTACAAACACGCAAAATGATTGCACGTCGGTATATTAGAAAAAAAAGTATTTGTTTACCTAACACAATCAGCCCAGTCCAACTTATACCAAGGGAAGGGAGAAAAGACAAAACAAGAAAAAAAAACAAGGAAAAAAGGGAAGAGGCCTGAAATTTTCTTTTTAAGAAAAAAATTTGGAACTTTTATTCATGTAGCATTGTCAAAAAAAAGGGCCATACAGAGTACATGCATTAACGTTCAACCAACATTATTTAACCATGGATTATTCGTCTCTGGAAATCCTTATTTGCACCGGCATGGCATGCTCAGCTGCTAGTTCGGAGGAAACGTAATCGGGTAGACCGGCGTCTTGTCAGGGTAGAAGAGCCCAAAATGCCTCTCGGTCTCATCCCCGGGCTTCTGGTTCTCGTTGAACATGGCGAACACGTACGTCTCCAGCTGCCCGGGCCGCTTCGGCGTCCCGTTCTTGACGTTGTCGATCACGCCCTGGTTGTGATTCCTCGCGTTCTCCACGTTCGCCGCGAACCCTCCCGCCGACGGCCACCCGCTCTCCGACACGACGACGCGGACGCCGGGCGCGCCGGCCTTCTCCAGCGCGGCGTACACGGCGTCCACCATGGCGTTGAAGAGGTTGGTGTAGGTGAGGCCGCTGTCGTTGTCCCTCACCGTGGTGCCCGGCTGGAACGTGGCGTAGTTGAGCGGGATGTCCCGCGGGTTGTCCCTGTAGGCGAAGTAGGGGTACACGTTGGCGAGCAGCGGCGACATGGTGTTGGCGAGGAACTGCGCGATGGGCACCATGAACTGCTGCAGGTCCGGGCGGAACACGCCGTGCGACGGAGGGGACGAGGCGGTGATCACGTCCATCCTCACCGCCGTCGACACCTTGATGCTGTTCGAGAGGCCGGCGGACACGAGCGCGTCGTACACGTTCTGCATGGCCGGGAGGATGGTCCCCATGTCGCCGGGGCCGAGCTCGTTGCCGACGGCGATGTACCGGATGATGACGTTCGGCCAGTAGGCCTGGACGTTGTCACGCACCCAGTCGGCGGCGGCGGAGGGGTTGTTGGCGAGGTTGGCCACCGCGCTGCTGCCGCCGACGTCGATGATGACGGCGACGCCGCTGCCGCGAAGCGCGTCGAGGGCCTGCTGGTCCGGGCTGTAGATGCGCATAGCACCGATACCATTGGACTTGTACAGCTGCACGACCTCGCTCTGCGACGGGAGGTTGTCGCCGTTCATGCCGTAGCAAACACCGTGGACACCTGCAAAAACATAGGAGTGCATGTTTATGCCAAATCAGACGATTTAATTGATGTGTAGGAAAATAAAATATATATATAGAGAGAGAGATATCGAATCTGGATTTTTCACATTTTGATACTTTTGAAAAACTTATTTCACAAATAGACCCCTAAAAAAACTTATCCTAGAAATGGTCTTTTTTGGGGCGCCAGAGTGGCTGGCGCCGTCATCCAACGGGATGGCGCCAGCCTCTCTGGCGCTGTCCTCCTGCCACCGTGGCGTACGCGAACCGACGTGGCTCCATTCCTGTTTCTCTGTATGGAGTTGCAACGGTGTTATTTTTATTTTATTTTTTCGGATGTTTTTTCACACTCAGGATCACGATACAACCAACCACAAAAAAAATTTAAACTCGAACTACCACTTAGCTAAGTCTGAAAATATCTAGCATACCACTTAGTCTACTTTACACCTTCACTAAAATTAGACCATAACTCATTTAGTAAAACCCTTTGATCAGCATGTTAAACATAATGCACTCTACCACTATATGAAATTACTTAATCTAATTCAAAATATAACCACATGAAATGACATATATAAGTTAAACAGTATATAGAGATGCAATTTTTTTATTTTTATTTTATTTTTTTGATATTTTTTCACACTTATGAGAACATAGGAACCAACCGTATAAAAAATAAACTCAAACGGACAAAATATGTGACATGTAGAATTTTCCAAAATTCTACCGAAACGGACAAAATATGCCATCTATTAAAATAGGCGTAACTTTCTCATACGGACTCGGAATCAGGCAAATAATATATGCACGGACATCTACAGAAAAAGTTACATCCGATTCTCCCCCGCTTTGCCGGGTTCGGCGATATTAAAACCTCCAAATTCCGCTTGCAAGATTGTGTTTTCGAGGAGAGAAGTTTTTCGGTGGAGCTTTGGAAAATTCCACATGCCACATATTTCGTCCGTTTGAGTTTATTTTTTACGTGGTTGGTTCTTGTGAGTTCCTAAGTGTGAAAAAAATATCAAAAAAATAAAATAAAAATAAAAAAGTTGCACATCTCTCTCCTCTGCACTAGTTCGGAGAGAGGAGAGGAGAGGAAAAATTCTACATGTCACATATTACGTCCATTTGAGTTCAATTTTTTTATGGTTGGTTCTTGTGTGTCCCTAAGCGTGAAAAAAATATCAAACAAATAAAACAAAAATAAAAAATTTCCGGGGGGGGGGGGGGGGGCGCCAGCCACTCTGGCGCACTCCCCCTAGCCACCTCAGCATCGCCCCGCCACGTCGGCGGTGGGACGGCGCCAAAGAGGCTGGCGCCATCCTGTTGAACGATGGCGCCAGCCACTCTGGCGCCCCAAAAAGGACTATTTTTAGGATAAGTTTTTCTAGAGATCTACTTGCGAAATAAGTTTTTCAAAAGGACCAAAATGTGAAAAATCCAGGAGATCGAATTGCATATGAGAGGCAGAGAGGGTTAGTTAATTAATTGATTAGCAATAGATCAGCTCAGCATGAAAGAGAAAAGGAAGGGAAAAATAAGTTCTGAATATACCTCCCATTTGATCAAATAGCTATGATAACTCGAGCTCTGATCTGCTTGATCAGTATCTGGAGATGGAATTATGAATGGCGCCTCGATGCTCGCGCTCGCTAGCTCGTGATCGTAGCTAGGAAAGAATGTCCCCCCTTATATACTGCAAGATGGCGTGACTTCTTCCTCTTGTCAATGAGACACTTCAATCGGTTAACCAGTAATCACGAGATCCGGCCGACGGCGGAGATCACGAGGTTTGCCTCGCGTTGGGATTCGACTTCGGTTATACTTTTGCTTTGGAATTGTGTTCCTTTGCTTTATTCCTCCTCTAGCATCTGCCCATACATTCCGTGTGATGAACACTGCGAATCAAATGGGACGTTTAAGATGTTGTTGTTGTACTGATAGCGTGATTGAATTCATGGCCTCTTTCTGCCAAGCCGCATATGGAGTTTTTTTTGGTGTTTCAGTTTCAAGTCGCGGTTGGTGAATCCGAAATCACGTGATTAAAACAGTAATTATCGAGCACGGAAGGAATGGAATTTTTTTAAAAAAAATGCAGAACGGAGTAATTTCTTACAGATCATCCTGTTTCTGCTTGATGCGATAGCTAATCGCTGTCGGTGCTCTATTACTGCTCCAGCTCAAGCTCGAACAGCATTCCAGCTTGTCGGCCAAATTGGACATATCTTTCGGCCCAATTGGTTTAATCCCCATCTCTTTTAGCCGGGCCGCAAGTTATCCCCTCCTCGTCACGCTATCTATAGGCCCATTATTATCTATCTGTGTTATGTTTTAGAACAAGCTGGAAATGCTGGTTGAGCTCGAGCAGTAGTAGATAGGGATGAAAACAGTCCGGAAAGTTTCCGAATTCCGGACGTGTTTTTGGAAACGGGAAGTGTCGGTCAGAATTTTTTCGAAACATTTGGAAACGGAAACGAATTCCGAATTCTGAATTTTTTTCTCGGAAACAGAAACAAACATGATAAGGCTGCTATTCGTTGGAAACCGTAATCCGACGGAAATTTTCAAGAAATGAATTCAAATTTTTTTTTCTTAGAATCGAAAAGGGAGTATTTCTCATATACAACTGATTAGTTTCATTCTTCTCTACTCTTTAATGTTTAGGTTTATACTAGTATTGATGTGCTTAATTAAATAGAAATATTTTTAGTTCCAGTAATTTAGATTTGTTTGCATGATTACTTTTTAAATTTTTATTAGACCATGTCATACTACTTATAATTATAGTTATAGATGAATATAGTTCTTTTTCTCCAAGAAAGTAAAGGGTACAACTAGTTATTATTATTATTATTGGTAAAAAAAAATAAATATCGGTTTGTTATTTTAGAAAAAAATATTGAGCTACATCTCTTTCTTAATTTGAAAAGTTCAATTTAAGGGCTTTTTATATTCCGATAAGTATCCGTTACCGTATTCGTTCCAAATCGTATTCGTTCCGTTTTCGTATTTGATAAATATCCTTTGCCGTATTCCCGTTTTCATCCTAGTAGTAGTAGAGCACCGACACCGATTAGGAAAACGTGGAATTGATCTGAGTGAAATTACTCCGTTCTGCAATTTTTCTTCTAAAAGATTCCATTTCCTCCGCGTGCGAAATAACTACGACCGAATCATTTTTGTATTAATCGAGTTGATATCTGTTTCTGCGAGGCCGCTGCCCGCTGGAATCTGGAGATTGAAGCAGAGAAAGTGAGAGGAAACCAAACCGCGACTTGAAACACCTAACAGACTCCATATGCGGCTTGTCAGAAAGAGACAATGAATTCATCAGGCTACCAGTACAACAACATCTCAAATGTCCCATTTGATTCGCAGTGTTCCATCACACGGAATGTATAGTATGAGCAGATGCTGGAGGAGGAAGAAAGCAAAGGAACACAATTCCAAAGCAAAAGTATAACCGGAGTCGAATACAAAAGCGAGGCAAACCTCGTGATCTCACGTGCGTCCGAATCGAACTCTGGTCGCCTCCACCGTCGTCCGGATCACGCAGCCTGGCCGGCCATCCGCGGCGGCGGGCTTGCGCCGCCGTGCTGCTTTGGCTGGAAGATCTTGGTGGCAGAGGGCAGAGGACCCAGAAGTCGTCCTCCTCGCCGTCGTCGGTGTGCGGCGGTAGCACCGGGGATCGGTGATCTCGTACTCGGCCATCATCCACCCGGTAACGAAGGGAATTAGTAGCAGCAAGCGGGAGTAGCTTGAGTGGCCATAATTAATCCGAGCTGGTGGAGCAGTATTCTGCGTTCATGATCTGCATTTGTGTCCTCTCTTCAGGAACTGAAAAGCTGGAAATGTTTGTGTCTATCTGTTTATAGGTGCCATCTGTTTGGCACAAGATGGTACCGATATATAGTCACAGCAGGCTGCTGTCATCAACCGATAAAAAGATCCTGAATTTTTTTAAAAAAATAAAATAAAATTGGAATTTTTTATTCATGTAGCATTGTCACAAAAAAAAAGGGCCATACAGAGTACATGCATTAACGTTCAACCAACATTATTTAATCATGGATTATTCGTCTCTGGAAATCCTTATTTGCACTGGCATGGTCAGCCGCTAGTTCGGAGGAAACGTAATCGGGTAGACCGGCGTCTTGTCAGGGTAGAAGAGCCCAAAATGCCTCTCGGTCTCATCCCCGGGCTTCTGGTTCTCGTTGAACATGGCGAACACGTACGTCTCCAGCTGCCCGGGCCGCTTCGGCGTCCCGTTCTTGACGTTGTCGATCACGCCCTGGTTGTGATTCCTCGCGTTCTCCACGTTCGCCGCGAACCCTCCCGCCGACGGCCACCCGCTCTCCGACACGACGACGCGGACGCCGGGCTCGCCGGCCTTCTCCAGCGCGGCGTACACGGCGTCCACCATGGCGCTGAAGAGGTTGGTGTAGGTGAGGCCGCTGTCGTTGTCCCTCACCGTGGTGCCCGGCTGGAACGTGGCGTAGTTGAGCGGGATGTCGCGCGGGTTGTCCCTGTAGGCAAAGTAGGGGTACACGTTGGCGAGCAGCGGCGACATGGTGTTGGCGAGGAACTGCGCGATGGGCACCATGAACTGCTGCAGGTCCGGGCGGAACACGCCGTGCGACGGAGGGAACGAGTCGGTGATCGCGTCCATCCTCACCGCCGTCGACACCTTGATGCTGTTCGAGAGGCCGGCGGACACGAGCGCGTCGTACACGTTCTGCATGGCCGGGAGGATGGTCCCCATGTCGCCGGGGCCGAGCTCGTTGCCGACGGCGATGTACCGGATGATGACGTTCGGCCAGTAGGCCTGGACGTTGTCACGCACCCAGTCGGCGGCGGCGGAGGGGTTGTTGGCGAGGTTGGCCACCGCGCCGATGCCGCCGACGTCGATGATGACGGCGATGCCGCTGCCGCGGAGCGCGTCGAGGGCCTTCTGATCCGGGCTGTAGATGCGCATAGCACCGATGCCATTGGACTTGTACAGCTGCACGACCTCGCTCTGCGACGGGAGGTTGTCGCCGTTCATGCCATAGCAAACACCGTGGACACCTGCAAAAACATAGGAGTGCATGTTGATACCAAATCAGACGATTTAATTGATGTGTAAGGAAATAAAATAGCAAGAGAGAGAGAAAGAGAGAGAGAGATCGAATTGCATATGAGAGGGTTAGTTAATTGATTAGCAATAGATCAGCTCAGCATGAAAGAGAAAAGGAAACGGAAATATAAGCTCTCAATATACCTCCCATTTGATCAAATAGCTATGATAACTCGAGCTCTGATCTGCTTGATCAGTATCTGGAGATGGAATTATGAATGGCGCCTCGATGCTCGCGCTCGCTAGCTCGTGATCGTAGCTAGGAAAGAATGTCCCCCCTTATATACTGCAAGATGGCGTGACTTCTTCCTCTTGTCAATGAGACACTTCAATCGGTTAACCAGTAAGGTTTCTTGCACATTTTGTTTGGATAACCCAATATATAGTTGATTTTCCTGTCATCATTAAGCTTGACGAATGACGACTGATCGATTAACATGCATGGAACTTCTTGTGTTTGGATCGAGTAGATAGTGCTGTGGCCTCATCTTGGGCACGTAAGTTCAAACACAATGTCAAGCCGCCTCGTTTTGTTTTAAGATAATATATGAGCTGGCCATAATGACTCGTACCAGATCAAGTATATACCGTGCTGGCTACTCCTTTCGTTTTATACTATATCTCACTTGAATTTTTTTTCTTAGTCAAACTAAAGCTTACAAAAAAAATAAATAGTAATGTTTTCAATGCAAAACAAATATATTATCAAAATATATTCGATGGTAAATTCAATGAAACTAATTTGGTGTTATAAATGTTGCTAATTTTTTCTATAAATTTGGACAAATCTAAATAATTTTGATTGAGAAAAAAAATCAAACGATTTATAATAGAATAAATTTTACAAAACTACATATACTTTGACTAAATTATCATAAAATTACAGATTTAAGGTGATGTATCGTATAACTACATATTTAACAATAAAATTATCACAATACTACATATTTATCCTCGCAAAAAAATACTACATATTTATGGTTTAAATAATTAACACTAATGTTATGATTTAAATATTTGACATCAATGTTATGTTTGATTATAAATATCCAAGTTTTATGATTAAATTGACACTAAATCTATAATTTTATGATAAATCTGTTACTAAATCATAGTTTTGTGATATTATTATACTTTAAATTTATCGTTCTGCGATAAATTAAGTTTTAAATATGTATTTTTACCGTACATCATGTTAAATATTGAATATGTAGTTTTTAATTTATTTATGGTACTTGACTCTTTATAATACGAAATATAGGGAGTAGTGACGACTGACGAGAGCCATGCTTGTTTGCTTGCCCGCGACAAGTTCTTCGTGGCTATCTGACAGTGACAAGAACAGCGACATCGTGCATGCATTTCTCTGATCTTGTCAAGTGGAGTACTTCATATATTAGATATTTCGAATTAATATTAGCCATCGACATCAACGAGTAAGTGCAGATGAAATTAATTGATTTAGTCTGTAGCTAGCTTGTGGTGGCCGGCCGGTCTCCCTCGTGCTTTCCCGCAGTCGTCGATGACAATCTGAAGTTCAGAAGGAAATGCATATTTATGTTATATATTGCGTGTCAATATGCGCACTAGAACACTGTGTAAGTATCTAGGGGAATGCCTTGTCAAATCTCTATGTTGGAACAATTCCATGTATGCAAGTTTTATGCCAAGATTGCCTGCTATGTTTCTCCAAGTAGCTGGTTAACTTTGATCTAGAATCCATGGCTTAATCGTCAGAGACCGGTGGTCAGATAAAAGCTAGAAGGCAGATCATTCATGGGTACAAGGTGTTTAAGCTTTGATTGGATCATGACGAGATTATTGTGCATTCTGAAGCTGTATATCGAGATCGAATTACACCATATCGGACATTGTTCATCAGTCAT